TGAATGGATTGCTTTTGGCTGGCTGCATTCAGTTACTGACAAATTTTCTTAGTTGTTGTCACCCCCTTTGGATGGACTTGCTCAGTGGCCCATGACACCAGCTCCATAAAGTTTTTGTAAGTCCCATGCCAGCTGTATTCCTTAAATCAGGTCCTTCTTCGTATTTCATCTCAGTTGCTAGAAGCAGGACTTTTACAGTGCTTACTCCAACACTGTGGAGTGACAAAGGTGCAAAGCTGCAGCTCTTCAGCTACCACCAGGAATGGTTGCAAAATACGCTTATACCAGCTTGCTTTGAAGGGACCTGGTTACGTGTTACAAGCTGTACTGGGTGATTTGGGAGCTGATGGATGCTTATCTGTTTTATTTCATTTTAGTGTAAAATATTTTATAGTTTTTAATATTATTTTATCATTTGCAAGCTACTTTAAGCTTACAGGGAAGTGCCCTATCAATATTTAAATAAAATAAATATATTCATAGAATAGTAGAGTTGGAAGGGGCCATGAAGGCCATCGGGTCCACCCCCTGCATATTAAGAGCAAGCATTGCTCCTCCTAGCAAAATACATTTATTAGTTTCAATTATATCCCACATTTCTTCTAAGGTGGTGTAACTGATACTCCTCTTCATTTTATCCATACAACAACCCTATGAGGTTATGTTAACTAAGAATTTGAGACTGCCCCAAAGTCACGTAAGAAGATTCATGGCTGTGTGAGTATCTGAACCAAGGTCTTCCTGGCTCTGGCCCAGTAGTAACCACCAAACCACCCTGGATATGCAGGCATTTGCAAGATAATGTGTACAGTGAAGTTCAGCATACAACGTCATGTATAGTATACAAGCATCTTTAAAAGGTCTATAGCTGTATGGTCACTTTGGTAGACAGTTCATAGCTTTAAGAACATTGGTCACACACAATTCCTTGCCTATAGCTTGGGAACAAATGCAAAGAATTAGAAGTCATTCTGTATGCCATAATCAGCTCATCACAACTGTGACTAAGACTAGAAAAGTCATTCATGTAAAATAATGAGTTTGGAAGAAAAGAGAAGAAATTGAAACATTGTCTGTAGTGACTAATTATGCTTCAAAAAGGCACATTAATTACAGATGCTAAAAGAAAATGCCATTATTTTACAAACCGTTCAGTGTTACTGACATAAAGGTGACAGAAATCTGACACCTCATTACTAATGTGTTGGAAGCACAACAACTGCAGAATAGCAAATAATCTAAATTTATCTTTACAACATTTACAATTTATAAGTGACCTCTCTTGTGAAAAAACATTTTTAAATACAGCCATTTCAGAAAATAATCATCATGCTTGACTATAATCTGGTACTCAATAATAATAATAATAATAATAATAATAATAATATATGCTTAGTTATATAATCATTGAATTGCTGCTATGCATTCTATGTGGTGTGGAGAACACTGTGGTTTAGTGGTTTAGAGCATGGGACTGGGACTCAGGTGATCTGGGTTCTAGTCCCCACTCAGCCATGGAGCTCACTGGGTGACTTTGGACCAGTCACAGACTCTCAGCCCAAACTATGTCACAAAGTTGTTGTTGTGAATGTAAGATTGAGAGGAGGAGAGAATTATGTAAGCTACCTTGAGTTCCTTGGAAGGAAAAAGGCAAAATATAAATATAATATAGACTATGGAATGAGCTCTCCAGAGCGGTCTGCCTGGCGCCGACATTATAATCCTTCCAGCGCCAGGTAAAGACCTTTTTATTTAACCATCATTTTAACAATTAAGGGTTTTAGACATTTTAAGATTTTTTGTTTCTTTTTGTTTTCAGTCACACTTTCTATTTTATTTTTCCTTTTTTAAGTTTAGTTTATAATGTTCAATTTTAGATGTTTTAATAACTGTAGTTTTAATATTGTATTTCAGAATTTTATATTATGTAAGCTATCCTGAGCACTTCCGCAGGATGGGATATAAATGCTTGGAATAAATAAATGAATAAATAAATAAAATTAAATACGGTACATGAGGTTTCCTTTCAGTATTCTTCAGAAGCTGCAGTTGGTCCTAAAAGCACAGCAAGAATATCAGAGGATATATATGGGTTTATGGTACAACATTTGCCTATCCTGCAACATTTACCTTGTTTGCCATCAGCTAGCCAGCTAGCTGTCTGGGGACGCTAAAAAGAAACACTTCATTCTCCAGCTGTCTCAGCTACTTTCTTGTCCTCTGAAAATTGCCACTGGGACCATATGAAGCTCCAAGATATTCCAAGGAAAAGCATCAAGCAGAGAAAGGTTACTGTAGTGTGGATTGAAAGCATGTGAGGCTGCCACCTTGTTAAAGCTAAGCAGGTTTGGTTCAGGCAGTGCTTGTGGGAGAGACCACTTGGGAAAAATAGGATATCAATGTAATAAATAAAACAAAAATGAAGGAGTAACATATTATTAAATTGTTCTTAAAATGTTTATTGAAATTAAAATTGGGAGGGGCAAAAGATTTCGATGGGTGCTGGGCGGCATCAGGATGGGCTGTGCTGCTACATCAGCCGGAGGGGCTGAAACTGGGGAAAGGAAGATGATATCCTCACTGAGCAAGCCCTTTCAGAGATGGGGCCAACCCCACAAGCTCATCCAGTTCCCAGCCAAAAATGGTTGCCGTTGCCAGCATGGCTTTGCCTGCCCCACAGTTTCCCCCACTGAAGAGGCCATGGGGTGACTCAAACAGTGTGTTGCTCACCTCTCCGTTGGGAGTGGAAACAGTGAAGAGAACTGTGCTCGCCTCTGACTGAAGATAGCAGCAGGGCTGTGGGGAGGGAGCGGTATATGGGAAGGCACATTATTGCAGGCCCAATTTAGCTCACCACAGGCTGGAAGTTCTCTACCCTGACACAGGCACTAGAATGGTTTATATAGGAATCTCTATATATGTATATGGTTTATATAGAAATCTCTATATAAATCAAATAAATAACATTGACTACAAAAAGAAAATCCAAGCTTGTGTGTATGTGTAGAAAGACATTTAAATATCTATATCAATATCTATATATTTTAAAACTGCATAATTAACCTCTCAGTGAACTGGCTTTAACTATTCCTCCACCATAAATTCCTCAGACTCCCAACTCAAAACAATGTTTCTGAAATACAAGTGGAAACTTGCAAATGTTTATTTGGCAGATTCCTATGTTGTTTCCTAATAGTGTTCTTCATAGTCCTAGGAAGAGCACAAAATTAACTGTATCACTGGGAAAGATGGGGGAAAGGCAGTTCTTTGCTTATCCCTTTGTGCTTACATTTTCCCCCTCAATGGCATGAAAAGGATCAGCCAAGTCATGCAAGTTATTTGAAAACATTTTCTTTTTATTGTTTCAATCACCGCCAAAAAAAAATTCCATCTCATTTTTTTCCCTTGACCAAAGAAAAAATCCCCACAATCTTCTGTGAGTCCCTTCTTCATAGATCATAATCCTTACATGGGAAGACCACTTTTGTGAGGAGCTGCTCATGGGGGTTAGGTGGGTTGTAACAGCTGCACCAGCTCTATGTTAAAAGGTAGGTAGAACTCTTAAGTATGTTTAGGGACTCTTGTGCTCTCTATCATCATGAGCAGCAAAAAATTCCCTGACTATACAGTCTCCTTTCTTTGGGAAGAAAGAGTACTGATACAGGCTGTTTCTACAGTATCTGTTTTCATACAAATGTGCAGATAATGAAGATAAAAAACAAACCAGCATTCAAATGAGGCGTATCACTCCTAAAGCAGCACCAACATTCCCCCTTGCAAAGCAAAAATCATCCCTTTGAACCTGCAAAAGACTGTTCTGTTGCTCTCAGGCAAGCTCCAGAATTCAATCTGTTTCATACTGTCTAAATTCAAAACTGCCCTCCCTTCCCCTAAAATCCAGGTACAATCCCATTTTAGCTCCCTGCTAGGCATATGGATGTGATGTTCATGAATTAATTGGAGCCAAGCCGAGCCGAAGCCGAGCAGTCCCACTTCGGAGCAGTTGCCAGAAGAGTCCTAGCTCCTCCTGCCTCCCTCCGAGATCTTTGGGGCAAGAGTAGGGCAATTGGCTGAGAGGTGCAGCCCAGCTGAATGCCTGACCCACCATCACTGCTCCCCCTTTTGCCAGGGAGTGGGACAGGCATCCCTTTCAGAGCAGGAGGTGAGGGTGCCCAGCCGGCTCCCACCTTCTGTGGTGCACTTCAAGGCAACCGCCCTGTTTCTGCTGTAATGACCGCTTGACCGCTGCAGCGAGCTGAACTCAGCTTCATGGCTGCATAAGAGGAACCTCATTCACCACACACAGTTAAAATATTTTGCCCGTTTTCGACTCTGAATATGTAAAGGTTAATCCTATGTTTGCCTGTGCTTTTAAAAGCTGTAGGGCAGCAGAAATTTAACAACTGCAGCCTGCCATGGTATGAAGACGCAGTGTTGGAGGAAGCTTTACTTGTTGAACATCTGTCTGCCAGCAACATTCTGTTTTTACTAGCAGTCCTATGGGCACATCCCAGTGGAATGCCTGGACTTTTGTGTGGGAATGTACTAAGATTCATTTCATTTCTTTCATTTCCATACTGCCCGATAGTCAAAGCTCTCTGGGTGGTTTACAAAGATTAACACCTTAAAATGCAATAATGGACATAATATCAGAACTATTTACATACAAACATGTAAACAGGCACCACTCACGCGCGCACGTGTATGAGTAATAAAAAGAAACCTCAGGATACAACTTCTATGAATTTCAACGTGCCTCCAAACGAGAGTGACAGGAGCTCTACCGACTCGCAGCAGCGCCACTGTCGCCCAAGCCGAAAAGAGGCTCGACCGCGCAAGCGCATAGGATTATTCTCGGTCAGCCGCACCGGCCCCCTCCTCTCTACCGCCCGCGCCTGCGCGAGCCGGCCTGTTGTTATGGTGACGGGACGCGGAGTGCTGCTCGCGCTGGTCTCGAGCTCGGCAGGGTAGGGGGCGCGGAGGCGCGATCGCTCGCGGCCATGACGGACATTCTGTGCGATTGGCTGAACAGGGAAGTGAAGCTCTCGCGGGCCGTGGGTGAGTCCGGCAGAGGCGCGAGCCTCTGGAAGGGGCCTTTGCTCTGGCACCGGCGCGAGGCGCAGGCGGGAAACTTCCCCTTCCCTGTCACTCGCAGGCAGCTCTATATTAAGCAGAGTATTTCAGATTGCTAGAGTAATAGCGCACGTTCTGCCCTCATCCTCGCATCCCCGCAATCCGTATGTGTAGACGTTTTTGAAGAATAATTGATTGAAACGGGAATGGCACTTTGCACGTGCTCAGAGGCTATACTGGCATCTTCTAAATCATCAAGGAAAGGAAATGCATCACCAAAAGCAGACAAAAGAGGATGGCCAGTGACATAATATTTGCATAAGCTAATTTATAGCTCTAGGCACAAATTTAAAGATAGTTATTATAATTTAAATAAAAATTACAGTAAACTTTGCCATACTGTGGAAGACCTGCGTGCCTGCATCTTCAGCCAACTATGGATGGGCAGCAGTTCTTATGGTACATTAAACTGGAATTGGATAGGACAGGCCTTGAAATTGAGGCTACTTTCAAATAGAGGACTGTCTTCTGTAAAAGAAGACACATAGCCACTCTGTGGGAGGCATAGATTGAAGACATGCATTTTCCAGGGTTTGTTGCACCACTGAAGAACAGTATCTTTGCTCAGGCAGCCATGAGATACTGACCCAAGGGTTAGGTATTCTGGGTTGATCAATATAACATTCAGCCAAGCAGCAAACAAGTTATTACTGATATTATAAACTACCATACAAGATATTAATGCAATAAAACAGAGCACTGAAAATAACTAATAACTAGATAGGATTAGTATTTGTTTTTTGATAAAGAAGGTAGGAATGTTAGAGTCAGTCAGCATTAATTACTGATATGGGAGGATAACACATGTGACACTTCAGGGAAATTCTAAGGAGCTTCATTGTTTTCCTTGCTGGAAACTGAGGTCTTGAAACTTTTTGGATTTGGAAGTATTTGTGTGTCTTTATCATTTTTTCCCTACATTCTGGGACTCTTAGAATTGGTTTAAATTCAGAGACAAAGCACTTTGAAATGAAAAACACTGTGGTTTTTAAATTAGTATTACTTTATGGGGAGCAGTAAGGGAGCAACTTCTCTTCCTTCTCCTAGGTTCAATTTGTAGCATCAAACCAGGAATAGAGAAGTGTCCTCCTTCCATAAGTAAATATGATGTGACAAAGGAGAATTTTCAGGCCATTGTGACTATTTGCTGTTCAAATGTGAATGACTGAGGATCCTACTCTGAGCCCTGTTTGCTGAGGGACCCTTTCCTAAGCTATGTTTTCCTACCTGCTTGACATGACTTACCTTACTTTACCATCTTCTGCCATACAGCTGGAGTTTTGCCTTTTATTTTAGCTAAAGACAAGCCATAGTTTACATTTACCCATTTTTTAAAAATTGCCACTACCCTGCTTCTTCGCTTGTTAAAAAGGGAGCACTCAACATTTTATAAATTGCAGGGAGAACAAGATGGGGCACATATTTTAGTCTGAAGATTGCAGAGAATTACATTAATATAGAGGATCCCAGTTTGCAGATTTTTTTGCAATAATACTTAATTTAATCCTGTCTGTAGGCTCACATGGCTTTGTAGGAATGGCGTATTCTGACTGAGTTCCTCAAATCCTTGAGAAAATGTCTGCTGTTTCAGGCAGTTTTGTGAGAATGAAGAGTTAACGGAGGAGAGATACTGGGGATCCTTTTAAGGAGTGAAATATGTAGTACTGGAAATAATGTTGGCTTGACTTGCTGCTTCTGAACCTCCTGAGCCTCTGTTGCAGCTTTCCCAAGTTAATTTCCCATCAGCTTTAGCCAGCAAAGTTAACAGCCAGGATTCCTGACAGCTGTAGTTGTAAACATATGGAGGGTACCAGGCTTATATATGGTGCGTACCTATCTTCTGAACATAATGTATGGCTGCTGCTTCGCTCCAGACTATGCCATAGGTAGGATCAAGGCTCAGTGAGGATTCAACATGGCAAAACCCAAGGAAAGCCGGTTGAAGTAAAGGAGCCCACTACGTTTTACAAAGTTAAGAGGGCTAATGCAGGTACCGTCAGCATCAGCCCAGGATCAATAACTTCAACAGAGTTTGTGCTTTGTACCCAAAAAGCCTTAGTTTTACTGTCTGGCCTCTGTAGTTAATGATCCAGGAGGAGATGACAAGAAGACACATCCCTCTGCCTTAGACCAAGAAAATGCAGTATTAGGCCAAAGTCATTAAGATTCTGACCTGGCATAAAATTTTCTGTGTGAGGGAGGGCTCTCTCTAGGGAGGGTGGGAGTGAGGGTTGGAACTGGGAAAAAGGAAAGACCGGTTGATGGACTGACAAGGAAAAACCAGGATACTGTCCATGGATAATGCGCAATGGGACACGAGAGGTCCAGATAAGGCAGGAAACGACAATGTTTACTATAGCTGAGAAATCTCCATGTACACAGTTCCTACAGGCAATGCCTTTGGGTGGCTGAGTGAGGGAAATTCTTGGTTATGGACCAAGTTCTTGGCTTCCCTACCAGCTGATGGGGACATGATCTCCTTACAATGCCCCCTTCATTGAGGAAGGCAGATGAGCAAAGATCCTTTCTGATATTCAGTTGGTACCTGTCATGATATTTCTAGCAGCCACTAGATATCACTGCAGGTAAACGTATATAGGTCCCTATGGTGAGAGTTGGGCATTTTTCAAATGCAGCAAGGAGCAGATTGAAAAATCAGATACGAATTGGAGATACACTTCATAAGCAAAGCACAGTTCTGAGGTTGCCAGGTGTTAACCTATAGATCAGCCTTCACCAACCATTTCCCTTCAGATTGTGTTGGACTGCAGCTCCCAGATGGAATTGGTCGTGCTGCTTAGGAATGCTGGGAACTGTAGTCCCAGAGATCTGGAGGCTGCCAGGTTGGGAAAGATTGCTGTAGCTCATATCATTAAAGGGCCCCTGGAGGATGGACTTGCTTTGACTACCACCCTCGCTTCATTTCTCCTCATCCACTAGCCTCCCTAAAAGTCCTGCTAACATGGCAATTGAGAAAGGCAAAGCAGCAGAGTTGTTAAAGAACAAGATGCTTCTTCTCTTGTGTCTTTTCTTTTTAAGGTATATAGACATGATCTTTTCACTGTTGCCTGGCAATCTTGTATCCTTGAGTGGTTTGGTGGGAAAAAATAGCAAGCGCTGAAGCTTTTAATTAATCAGTTTGAAAGTTTGATGAGCTAAATAGGGATTCATTATTAATAGGGCACATGGCATTTTGAAGACATATTGTTCATTATTTTGTAATTTTAAAAAAATCACTGGTAGCATGCATGAGGTGCCAAACTCAAGGTTATACTTTTGGCATACAAAGCCCTAAACAATGTAGGACCAGGTACTTAGCAGACCACCTTCCCTTAAATATACCCAGCTGACACTAAAGATCATTGGAAGAGGCCTTGCTGACTGTTCCAAAATTTTTGGAGTGTTGTCCAAAATACTTCAATGGCACCTTTCTCAGGAGTAGCAACCACCAGTGGAAAAAACCTCCCTCATACAGCTCAGAAGGCAAAAAATGAGGTGTCTTTCAAATGCCTCTGGAAAATGCACCTGTTCACCCAAGCTTTCCCTAGCCTATAATTACATGCTGTTTGCTTGTACTGCTTTGACACTGCCCTGTATTATGTATTATTGTTGTTGCTGGAATTGACTTGCTCTTAAAATTGAAATTTAAATGTGAATTTAATAGTTTTATATATAAAATACTTAGGGATTTTTTACTATTTAATAATATGGAAATGGTGCAAATAAATAAACCTCTCAACAACCCTGTAAAGTTGGTTAGGATAAGAATCAGTGAACATCCTAAAGTCAGCCACTCAGTTTCATGACTGAGTAGGGGTAAGAATCTGGGACTCCCAAGTTCCAGTCCAACTCTCTAACCACTGGACCACCCTGGTCTCAGCTGAATTTACATTCCTCACCCAGGTACCTTTCATATTTGTGGGACTTGAACCAGCATGGCTAATGGTAGGAAGGCTGGAATTTAGTTGGAGGGCACCAAATTTGGAAAGGCTGCCTTAGCGGCTGCCCAGTGGAGCAAGCCTGAGGAGGCAGATCTGCACTGACACATTTGCATGCTTTCTCAGGTCAAGGCTACTGAAGTGAAAGCTCTTTATATGTGGTGTTTATTCTGTGTTACACAGCATATGCTTCTTATATCATTGAAATTCCCACTGGGCAAAAAGGAAAACGGGATGGTGGAGTGGAGAGGGGATTTTCATCACCCATAATGACGCTTGTGTGAATTCAAGGGACCCAGAACAATTGAGTTTCCTCCATGAGGACTCTAGAGGACAGAGATATGTTTCATAGGTGTATAATTATCCATTTCATTCTGCGTTTGAGCTGCAAATGCCTTCCCTCCCAAGAAGAACTTCATGAGATGAAATCCCCCAAATGAGAAGCAGGATGACCAGATTTCTCTAACTTTCTTTGGGTTAGGAAATAGGTCACCATAACCCAAGACTTTATAGTGCTGCATATTGGTGCATTTTTCTTATTTCTTTTCAAGAAGCAGTATCTTGAAACATAAAAAATTAGTTCTTTTAGTTAAATACGACTACTTGTTTAATGCTTTAACATCTGCTACCTTAAAGCTGCACTGTTTCTCTTATTTGCAGTTTTATTGCTGTTGTTTTTGTTGTGATCTGACTTGAGCAGAGTTTTGTTATTATTGCTACATATTAACCAATTCGTTATGTGTTCATTTAGAGCCAATATGTACTTTAATGTGCAGGAATGAGAGTGGCTTCCTTGTAATCTTTCCCCATATGGTGTCCATCATGGCTAGATCAGCCTTTTCCAATCTGGTGCCTTCCAGATAGGTTGTAACTCAATACCTAGGGATAGGAATGATGGGAATCGCTGTCCAATCCATTTGGAGGCCACCCAATCCATTTGCTACCCAATCCATTTGGGTAAGCCTGCCTGCACAAGGTGCAAGAAGCCAAGCCAGATATGGTGGTCCATCAAGGGACTTAATAACTGTCTGCCTTTTAGGCTGCCAGCCTGCATGCGACAGTCCAGGATTATCAAGCATGTAACAGGCCAGAAGGTGTAATTTAGTGGCTTGCTTTTGGCGTGCTGGGTTATACATACATAGATCCAATTTAGATGGAGGAAGGATTGTGCTGGGGTGACTCCCATGGTTTCACCCCATGGCAACATAGCCTGGCCCCAGAGAGGGCAACATTGACTTTTCCATCTAGGTGCAGGTACATCCTATTTGAATTACTGCAACATGCTGTCCTGCATTTGAAATCTGTTTGGAAACTTCAGCTAGTTTGAAATGTCACTGCCAGGCTTCTGACCGGTTACAACACTGTGTGACGTCCTTGTTAGAATGGCCTAGATGGCTTCTGGTCTGGTTTTGGGCACAAATCGGAGTGTTGGTTATGGCCTGTAAAGCCCACTGCACCTGAATGCCCAATGTACCTGAAAGATTACCTTCTTCCAAATAAGCCCTTGGTCTTATTTTCTGCAGGAGAGTCCTTTCCTGAGGTGGTAACATGAGAAAGGGCTTCTGGGAACAGGGAAACAGAGTTCCCAAGCTGTAGAACTCTGCCAAGGGAGGCTAGGTTGTCTCCATCGCTGTTTTCCTTCTGCCAGCAGTCAAGTATATTTTTATCCAAGCACGTCTTTGGCTTTTAAGAAGCTCTGTTAGATTTAATGCAGTTTTACTCTGTTGTCATTTTCTTTAATTGCATATCAGTGCATTCGTTGTTTGAGAGGTTGGCATTGCTGCCTTCCTTGGCAGACCCAGCTTTCTCAAGCCACCTCTGCCAAGAGCAGTAGCAGAACCATCCTGCTGTGCTTATCCCATCTAGCGCTTCAGCCTCTCAGCAGCTGCTTTAGATGAGAAGAGGCTGAGACAGCTCTGCCTCAGAGTGGGCAAAAGGAATACCAGATAGAGGCTACATGTTGCACTCTGCTTAAATTATTGTAGAATAGGCAGATTGGAGTGCTGCTTGGCTATCTCCGTTCAATCAGCTTGGCTGACTCACCATGGCTGCCAGCCAACAGTAATGTGGGCAAGGGAAAGCTTCTGACAGCTGCCCCAAGCATTTCTTGGGCAATTGGGGAGCAACTATAATACATGCTTGCCGGACAGTCACTTGGCTGCAGCAAGGATTTCTTGTTCTTGCAAAGTGGCTGTGATGTTGGGGTTAGCCCTGTACTTGTTTGGCATCTCCATTGAGACAACACTGGGATAGCCATGAAAGCCTGCAGGAAGCAGCTATAAGCCCGGGGGGCTACTCAAGTCCTATTAACCCTCACCACAGTTTCAAAAGCCAGCAAGCCAGCCCAGCCCAACCCTTTTTCTTTTTAAATTAAATCAGATCCAGAGTCTTTCGCCAGAGAATTTTCTTCAGGGTACCTCATTGGAGAACTTCTGAACAAATATGAACTTCAGGATGACTTTGACCAGTTTTCACAAAGCAGGTTAGTAGCTTTAGAAGGGGTCTAACAAATGTGCACAATGTATGTACAATATATGATAGTTAACGTAGAGTAGGTTCAAGTGGCAGCTCCAGAATGTGGGAACGATATATGTCAGTGGGGGCCCCTCCTAACCACTGTTGCCTAACCACTGCATTATTTGCCCACCAACATTTAAAGGGAGAATTCAGAGAGAACAGAGGGTGTTGTTCTTTCTGCTTGTTCCTGCCATTGCTTGATTCTTTGAGGAACACAGTTGAGAAGGCAACAGCCAAACATCTTGATCTGTTTCTGATATCAGTTAATTTGGTTTTGCTCCATTGTTCTCCCACCCCAAAATAGCATATGTATTGAAGGTTCCTGGCCTTTTTAATGGTTTTTTAGAAGATTTCCATATTTTAAGCAGGAAGAACCTGGTGTAATGAAACATTTTCTCTGTCATGTTCACTTACAGACTTTCTAATGCAAAACTTAACAACTTTTCTCGCATGGAGCCCACGCTTCAGCTTCTGGGTGTGCAGTTTGACCAAAACATAGCCCGAAACATCATGACAGAGCAGCGTGGAGCTGCCACCAAACTCATATACCAATTGTATGTGGCTCTAGAGAAAAAGAAAAAAGCAGGACTCACTGGAGTTGCTATGGATGCAATGAGACCCTCTGCTCATGCAAAGCTGAAAAATGTGGGAACTGAGATATATCGAGAGGTGAGCTGATCTCTGTAACACCATCATTCTTTCTTTAGGCAAAATGTAGCATATGAATATACTCAAAAGAAAATGCATGTAAATTAAATATCTCTTGAGTCTGCTCCATCTCTACATAAAACAGGAGTTGGAAACTTCAGCCCTCTGCATTCTTTGGGCTGTTGGTTCCATCAGTCATGGCCTGTGGTGAGGAGTGAGGGGAATTGTAGGCCAGAACATCCAGAGAGTCACAGGTTGCCCATTTCTGCTGTTACGGATCCACTGAATTGTTTATTAATTTTTGACATCTGTTCTGCACCAAATTTCTGAAGGTGTGCCCATGTGTGCAAGGACATACAGTTTATACTTTACATTTCATTTCTCTGTTTGCCTAGTATCACAGTGTTTTAATTGTTCAATGCTCTGAGAGAATGTTTGTAGAAATGCAGAACTAAAGAGGCCCCTCATATGACCACTTTTCAGAGATAAGGCAAGATCTGGTATGGACAGATCTTTGTTTCTTCTGTCTTGTTTAGTTGCTATTGTGGAGATGTTTGAGGAGTCCAATAGGGAATAGAAATCCAATAGACTTTCTCAACACAGAACAAGGAATTGCAGGGATGTCATCAGGAAAGCTAAAGCAGGAAATGAACTGAGAAACTGAGAAAGGAATGCCAAGAACAACAAAAAAGCCTTCTTCAGATACATCCAAAACAAAAGACATGTGAAAGAAAAAGGTGTCTGGCTACTTAAAATGGATGGCAGAGTGATAACAGATGACAAGGAAAAGGTGGTGCTCAATTCCTACTTCACCTCAGTCTTTCCCCACAAGAAAATCTATAGGAAAGAGGAAGTACAAGCTGGCAGTGAGAGATGGCAGCCCAAGAATGACAAATGGTCAAGGAATTCCTAGATGGAATAAATGCATTCAAATCTCCAGAGCCCAATGAACTCCATCCCAGAGTCAGAAAAGAGCTAACTGAGGAAATCTCAAAACCTCTGGCTATTTTCTTCAATAAATCTTGGAAAACAGGAGAAGTGCCAGACAACTGGAGAAGGGCTAACATTGTCCCCATCTTCAAAAAGGGGGAAAAGATGACGCTAAGAAGTACAGAACAGTTAGTCTGACATCAATCCTAGAGAAATTCTGGACCAGTTGATTAAAAAATCAGTCTGCAAGCACCTTGAAGAAAATGCAGTGATTAATAAAAGCCAACATGGATTTAAAAAAAAATCCTGTCAGACTAATTTAATCTCATTTTTGACTGCATAACCTCCCAAACAGGCAGAAGGGAATGCAGTGGACATATGCACCTTGACTTTAGCAAAGCTTCTGACATAGTGCTTCACAACATTCTGAGAAGCAAATTAGCAAAAAGTAGACTAGATAAACTATTAGGTGGATCCAAAATTGGCTGCTAAATCAGACACAATGATTACTCATGAATGGCACCTTCCCAAACTGGAGGGAGGTAACTAATGGGGTGCCACAGGCTTCAGTCCTAGGCCCAGTGCTCTTCAACATCTTTATTAAGGATTTAGCTGAGGAAGCACAAGGAAAGATAATCAAATTTTCAGATGATACAAAACTGGATGGAAAGCAGTTTAAGACAGAATGAAGATCCAGGGCAATCTTGATAAACTTCAGTTCTGGACAGAAAGCAACAGAATGAGATTCGATAAGTACAAATGCCAAATGAAGCCTTCACCTAGGAAAAAGAAACCAAATGCATCGATAAAAGATGTGGAATACGTGACTCAACAGAAAAGAGAGAGAGAGAGACAGAGAGAGACAGAGACAGAGACAGACAGACAGACAGACAGACAGACAGAGACCTTGGAGTTATTGTGGACAGCAGGCTAACTAGAAGCCAACAATGTGATGCAGCTGCTAAAAGGGCAAATGCTATTTTGGCATGCATTAATAGAAGTATGCCCTTCATGGATCACTGCCTTGCCATGGTGAAGGGGCTTGTGTAGCGCAATGAATCTATGAGCTATGCTGTGCAGGGGCACTCAAGAGGGACACGTCATAGCACATACCTTGAAAAGCTGATGAACAGTATCCGAAAGCTAAAATATATGATGCTGGAATATGAGCCCCTCAGGTTGGAAGGTGTCCAGTGTGCTACTGGGGAAGATCGGAGGGCTAGTACTAATAGAGCCAGAAAGAATGAAGCAACAGGGTCAACGTCGAAAGGACACTCAGCTGCGGATGTATCTCGTGATGAAAGGAAAAGTCCAGTGCTGCAAAGAAAAATACTGCATAGGAACCTGGAATGTAAGATTTATGAATCAAGGTAAGTTGGATGTAACTCAAACATGAGATGACAAGATTGAACATCGATATCTTAGGAATCAGTGAACTAAAATGGACAGGAATGGATGAATTTAATTCAGACGATTATCATATATACTACTGCGGGCAAGAATCCCTCAGAAGAAATGGAGTAGCCATCATAGTCAATAAAAGAATAGGAAAAGCAGTACTGGGATACAATCTCCAAGATGACAGAATGATCTCAGTTTGAATCCAAGGCAAACCATTCAACATCACAGTAGTCCAAGTCTGTGCCCCAACCACTGATGCCAAAGAGGCTGAAATTGACCAGTTCTATGAAGACTTACAACATCTTGTGGAAATAGCACCAAAAATGATGTCCTTATCATCATGGGGGACTGGAATACTAAAGTAGGAAGTCAAAAGATAACTGGAATAACTAGCAAGTCCGACCTTGGAGTACAAAGTGAAGCAGGGCACAGGCTGGTAGAATTTTGTTGAGAGAACACGCTGGTCTTAGCAAACAATCTTTTCCAACTACTCAAGAGGCAACTTTACACATGGACATCACCAGATGGTCAACTCCAAAATCAGATTGAATATGTGCTCTGCAGTCAAAGATGGAGAAGCTCTATACCAGTTGTCCTTTTAAAACAGGGGGCCAGTTTACTGTCCCTTAGACTGTTGGAGGGGTGGACTACAGTTTGAAAAAAATATGAACGAATTCCTATGCACACCGCACATTAAAAATTAATTACAATTAACTATCGTGCAGCGAAGGCAGGTGCGATCATAGCCTTCCCCCCTGAGCACGATCGTGGCCATCTCTCCACCTCCCCAGTACAACTGGGATCATGGCTGTCTTCCCTGCACGAGCACAACCACGATCGCGGCCATCTCCTCACCACCACCCCCAAGCATAATCATGCAGGGAATGCAGGCATGATTGTGGACACACTCATGCAGGGAAGGCGGGCGTGATTGTAGCCATCCCCCCCCCGAGCACGTTTGTGGCCATCCCCCCCCCCCCCATACGACCGCAGTCACGCCTGTCTTCCCTGCACGTGATTGCAGCCATCTCCCCACTGAGAACACCTGCGCCAGCCCAGAGCTTTTGGATTCACTCAGAGATCGTTTTCTCTGAGCAAGTCCAAAATCTCTGAGGTGGGCTGGATAAATGGGCATGGCGGGCTGGGTCTGGCCCACGGGCCATAGTTTAAGGACCTGTGCTCTATACAGTCGGTAAAAACAAGACCAGGAGCTGACTGTGGCCCAGATCATGAGCTTTTTGTTGCAAAATTCAGGCTTGAATTGAAGAAAGTAGGGAAAACCACTAGGCCACTCAGATATGACCTAAACCATATTCTTTATGAATATACAGTAGAGGTGACAAATCGATTTAAGGAATTAGATCTGATAGACAGAGTGCCCGAAGAACTATGGATGGAGATTTGCAACATTTTACAGGAGATAGCAACTAAAGCCATCCCAAAGAAAAAGAAATGCAAGAAAGCAAAGTTTCTTTCTGAGGATGCTTTTCAAATAACTGAGGAAAGAAGTATGTGGACCAAGAACTACCAGAAGTACAGCCAGGATTTTGAAGAGGGAGAGGAACTAGAGATCAAATTGCCAACATAAGCTTGATCATGGAGAAAGCTGGGGAGTTCCAGAAAAACATCTACTTCATTGACTATGCTAAAGCCTTTGATTGTGTGGATCACACTGTCCCCCTGCCTATTTAACTTATATGCAGAGCACATCATGAGAAAGGTGGGCCTAGATGAATCGCCAGTTGGAATTAACTGCCCAGAGAAATATCAACAACCTCAGATATGCAGATGATAGCACTCTCATGGCAGAAAGTGAAGAGGAACTAAAGAGCCTCTTGATGCGGGCGAAGGAGGAGAGCACAAAAGTTGGCTTGAAACTCAACATTAAGAAAACTAAGATCATGGCATTCGGTCCTCTCACTTCCTGGCAATAGATGGGGAAGACATGGAGGTAGTGACAGATTTTATTTTCCTGGGCTCCAAGATCACCACAGATGGGAACTGCAGCCAAGAAATTAAAAGACGCTTGCTCCTTGGGAGGTAAGCTATGGCAAATCTAGACAGCATACTAAAAAGCAGAGACATCACCCTGACAACAAAAGTGTGTATAATCAAGGCTATGGTTTTCCCAGTTGCAATGTATGGCTGTGAAAGTTGGACCATAAGGAAGGCTGAGCACCGAAGAATTGAGGCCTTTGAATTGTGGTGCTGGCGGAGACTCCTGCGAGTCCCTTGGACAGCAAGGCAATCAAACTGGCCAGTCCTAGAGGAGATCAACCCTGACTGCTCTTTAGAAGGCCAGATCCTGAAGATGAAACTCAAATACTTTGGCCACCTAATGAGAAGGAAGGACTCCCTGGAGAAGAGTCTAATCCTGGGAACAATTGATGGCAAAAGAAGAAGGGGATGGCAGAGGATGAGGTGGCTGGATGGAGTCACTGAAGCAGTTGGTGTGAGCTTAAGTGGACTCTGGGGGATGGTGGAGGACAGGAAGGCCTGGAGGAATGTTGTCCATGGGGTTTCGATGGGTCGGACATGACTTCACGACTAACAACAGCAATATGCTGTGGACCATAGCTTAGTGATGAAGCACATGCTTTGCATACAAAATATCCCAGTCCCCAGCATCTTCAAGATGGATTGGGAAAGTCTCTTGTTTGAGCTACTGGATAAGTACTGATGGACAGCCTAGATAATACTGATATAGATGGAGCAGTAAGGCTATGATCTATGTCATTTATGCCTCATCTGTGAAGTAGTATAGAAAGAAAATTAATAAAAATAAAGTGAATAGCCAGACAATCTGGATCAGAGGTACAGAACCTTAGGCTTGGGGTCATATTTGGTTCTGCATGGTTTCCTAGATGGGTGTGCCCCCTTTTCCCCATCTGCCAGTTGTTTGGGGGCATCCTAGATTTCATTCAGTCTTCCCCCTTTCTAAAAGAGTGAAATGCCTCTCTGAACGCTCAGTTACTGACAGTAAGAGCTTTGAATCAAATATCTTGAGATTTGTGGTTCTGCTCATGTGCCCTTAGCACTGACCTCTACTGGAATGTGGCCTCTGAGAAAATCTCTAAAACAGCATTTGGTCCTCTGTTAATCCCAATCTAAATAGATAGGATATCCTTGAACTCTTTCGAACTTTGTTATTCAGCTTAATGTTTAAGTCTGTAATGTAGTGCCCACAATTTATGGTTTCTGTTCAGTGAAATGTGTGTCCTATTGTAGCCTTTATTCACTTGGGTAAACCTAAATTCAGAGTGAAGATTTTTTTCTTCTGCAGTCTCTTAGTGGTAAAGTGTATGGTTTGCATTCAGAGGGCCCCAGCTTCAATACCTGTGTCTCCAGCTAAAAGAAGCAAATGATAGGGCAGGGATCTCTCCCTAGCTGAACTCCTGGAGAGCCACTACTAGTTTATGCCAACAGTACTAGGCTAGATGAACTAATGGTTCAACATTAGCTTCTGATGCCCCTTACAGTGTAATATACATTGTGCCGTCAAATATTTTGGAAACTCTTTTCATTTCAGCGCCTTAAAGCCCTTGTGCCACGTCAGGCAGACCTGTCTCTCCAGCAGATTTCAGACAACTTTCAAAATAAAGCCAAGAATATGGAAAATAAGATGGCTAGTATGCAGTTTGTGAAGCAACAGCAAGAGAAGAAACTCCAGGAGGAAAAAAAAGTTCAAGAAATGGAAAAGGTGAGAAGTTGGGGGTTTTATTCTGTCCCAAAGAGGCAGGAAATGTTTATGCCTGGGTTTATCTTTAGCACAGTGAGTATTCCAATAAAGTAAATGCTTTTAGGCTACAGTCTTTAGCTCACATGCTAGGAGTAAATATTATCAAATTCAATAGGAATTATATTTGAGTAAGCATACATGGATTGAACTGTCAGAATGCTACTAGGTGAGGCTTTTCTCCTGCAATAACACTACCTCATTCATGGCATTTTATAGTTTCAGACTACATCTTTCGCTTATAGCCCTTCTGCGTTTTCTCACTGCTTCTTCCATTTTACTGGAAAAAATATTAAAGAAGAAAAGAAAAATATAATTGCACAGTTCTTTCTGGTTGGGGTTAGCCACATGCACCCTTCCCTACTTCAAATTTTACTGCCACTGCTGTGTTGCCAAATTCAATGGCATTGACAAAAACAGTCAATGGTTTGCTACTGTACTGTGGTAGCAAACTGCTATGGAGTCTTCAGAGTTCCAAATGTAGCTTCTTTTCAAGCTAAATATGGCCTTTTGGAGTTTTTGTAGTAACTTGTCACCAAATTTTTGTGACAAGCCAATTAGTTTTTTGCTGCAGGCACAACAATGGCAACAACAGAAGCCCAGTACACAGAGTGGGCTGGAGGATGGCAGTTGTCCTCTGGACCAGCTGAGCTTGCCCACCTCTGCCTTTGATTGCTACTGCTAAGATCCTTGTAACTGGAATCTTTTGCTATAGTTCAAAGCTAATGGAAATAAAGTGGAGCGTTTTCATTAATTCAGTTAGAACAGGAACTTAGCCTCTTTGGTATATCACGGAAAATGGTGTTATTGAGAAATTTCAGTGCTCTGGAGTGAACTTGTTTGCTTGTGATAGATGGGGTTAGTATTTGCACAACTTGAAGCTCAAACCCCGTTCTGTTCCTGGATGAGCAGATGACACTGAAAGCCAGAACTGGAGGATTTTTTTCCAGCTGCATTCTTTGTGAAAGCTTTTCCTCCTCTTCCTTTGAGAGGATCTCTCCAAGCTTTTCCATGCTTGTGGCCTGTAGAGTTAATTGCTAATATATTTAGCAATATATTTCATATGGGGCAGAATTTGAAAGCAACTAGGAAATTAGTGCTAAATGCTACTGTTTGTTTACCTGCTGCTTATCTGGGGTTGAGAGACTATCCAGCACAACTGTGCTGGTTGCCAGTTTACTTCCAGGTCTAATCCAAATGTTGGTTCTTTCTGTTAAAACCTTTTGTGGCCTGGAAGCCATACACTTTAGTCTCAGCCTTTTCCTGAATTAGTTCCTGCAGCAGTTGCAGCCAGTGGTTGGGCCCTGCTTCAGCCACCTTTAACAGTGTCCACAAACTTCTGGAATACTCTCCCTGATGACATATGGCACAGTTTCTTCCCTGTCTCCTTTGGCAGAAGATACAAAATGTTTTTATTTTAGAAAGCATTTACTTGCAGAGATAGGTGTTCAGTGGTTTTTTACAGTTTTCCTATTCTTTAGGAGTTCTTAACATTGTTATGTTAGCACAAATAAAATTGTGTTCTTATGTTGTAATTTTTGTGAAGCATCCAGATCAATTTGGCCATTGGGTGTTAGAGAAGTGAAATAATTATGTAGCACTAGTGTAAGGGAGCTCTAGCACAATGCCAAAAGTGTTAGCTGTTCAACATTTTTCCAGGGAATCCTGTTGTGCCAACTAACACTACTGCTGTTATATTAGAGGTCCATCATTCTAGTGTGATATAATTTATGTTAGTGTCACACTGAAAACTGTGGTATGTGTTTAACTTTTGCTATTCTATTGTAAGCCACCTTGCCCTTTGGAAAGACAGTATTTTAAACAAATATTCCATTCATCAACATCTAATGTAAACCTAAAAAAATTACTCCGGCCAAGCAAGAAGAAAAAAAGTGTATTTGAAACTACTGAGTTTCCTCCATCAGTGTGTTGATCTCAGCATACTGTTGTTATTCCACATGCATTCTGAGGAATGGAGATACAAATTCAGAAACCCAAAGCGGCTTGGTTTTAAACGAACCCCAAGATGAGTCTTACTGGATATATTTGTAGAACCAACTGCCTGCTTATAGTTTCATATCATGAGCTATGGAAAGGCTGCAGTGGGTGTGAGGGACAGGATCGAGAATGTGATTTGGCTCTATTTGGGCAAGCATACAAAAGGGAATACTGAATTTTGATGTGCTGCACTTGTGGCTTTAATCCATGTACGGTCACAGACACATAGTTGCATGGAACAATAGCTATCCTGGGTGGATGTGCACGTTCCCCTTATGCTTGGAAAGACCCACCCAGTCAGTACATTAGGCTATACATGCCTACTGCAGTGGTGTTAGATACGAAGATGTACATCAGTTTTCAGAAAAGGTATGTGTATAGAAGGCTGCTTCTATGCTTGCGTTTCCTTCCTAAATCATGCCAACAGCTAAGACAGTGGAGCTTGCCTGAACCAATGCAGAGCATGGAATTTTGGCCAAAGGTAAAAGTTTACCAGATACCTTTTACCTCCATTTGTTAATCACTACAAAAACTCGCTCTCTCTAAAAACTCTTTTAAAAGTAAATATTACTTTGATTATACCCTTAACTTATAGGTTGAGAGCAGTTTGATAAAGGGTGCCGTTTGAAATAAGATTACCATTCCAAAACATGCAATTTGAGGCTTTAACATTTCCCCCCTTATTACTTTGGAGATAGGTTTTTAATTTCCCATGTGATGTTTCATGATTCCTGAAATAGGTTTTAGACTAAAGCATAAATATAAACGTTAGAAAATGAGTGTTGATGTGATAAACCATGTAATTTAGTTGCAGTTTCTTTGAAAACTAGAACAGCATGTATATAAATAACTGCTTTTCAATATATAGCAACTCATATTTCCCATGCAGGTGGTAGGCCTTTTCTGCCACTTAATCTTTGAGCACTTGTTCACTGACAAATTAAATGAAGATAAATCAGCTGTAAGGCAATCAATCCTCTCTTGCCTTCTCTCTCTCTCTCTCTCTCTCTCTCTCTCTCTCTCTCTCTCTGTGGTTATGCTGTAATGATGAAAGGGATTAGCACTGGGTCCAAGTTTGAGGGTGGGGGCTTGGCAAAGTATCCTCTGTCGTTGGCTGCCTCCTACATGGGTGGGCCCCACAGAGCAGTACTGCAGTCAGCATTGGAGCTATGATTCATCAGGGAGAGTGTTAGAAAATGTATGGCACAAGGAACCCAAGACAGGTGTGGGCCCTGCTGGGGTGCCAGCAGCTGCCTAAGGAAGCTGCCTGCTGATCCTGGCCTGAAAGTAGTGGAGAGGTGTGGAATGTACCAGATGCATCTCCCTTCCAGCAGCAAACTTATCCCTTGTCATATAGCAGAATAGTCTGGTATACCATGGAAGGACTTGACAAAAAGGAGGCAAGGCTACATGTTACCCTCACTTAGGGGAGCCCATGGGCCATTGTTTGCTCAAGGAGAAGCTGCTTTTTGAGACTGCCCTTTGCAATTGCCAAATTGTACTGCTCTTTGCATGATAATTAAAAACAAGACTTTACTATAATAATAAATTGTTACAGAAATAAAATGTAATTTCTCGTTATTCTAAAATCTCATTTTAATTAATGTGTTGTTTATACATCCAAGGCATAGTTTGTCCTATTCTTCAGTTAGAAGGTTTCTGGAGCTGTTTATAAGAATTAATAATTCAGCAATCTCTTCCCTCAAACTTATATTCTAAAAAGACACAAGGAAAGGAATTAAGAGGGAGAGGAAAAAAGTAGGATGGTGGCACTTGATGATGTTGCCTGGCAGGATGGGAAATGCCTGTTCTGCATCCTGTTTTTGCACCCCACCCAAAACAAACCAGCTAGCCTAGTACCACCACCACCACCTAAGTGTTACTGCCCCAATATTATACTTTGATTGGGAAGTGTGGGAAGAAAGTGACTTGAAAATGATATTGTGTATGTAACTAATGGTTATTCTGTGGCAAGTTATCCATCACTTGTTATACTTTCATTGGGTATTTAGAAAATTGTAGAAAAGCGAAGGCAAAATGAAATAATGGCTAAGATTCAAGCAGCAATTATCCACATTCCAAAACCAATGCCACAGCATACTGTCAAAGCGATTGAAGACCAGAAATTGCTGAAAAAGAGAAGGGAAGCAGAGGTAGGTTCTGATGTTTTATAATTACTTTTTTAAAGAAAAAAAATACAATTGGTAAAATGGACTACATTTTCACACTTGATCCTGTAGTGCATCTCAGAAGCTTTTACTTGGAGGCCAGCGTTGTATAGGTGTTTGAAATACTTGCTTTCTAAAAGGAGCCATACTGATAAATGTTTTAAGGGGAACATGTACCAATGATGAGCTACCAAGCTTCATGCAGCTGACCTACCAAGTCTTGTGGCATGTCCAGTAGATCCCAGGCTGAAGCAAAACCTGGGCTGTGTTTGGCGCCTGTTTTTTAAGCAAGAGTCTTGATCCAGAAATATCCTGAACTGTGCAAGTGCTATATTCATGCTTCTGGCTAGGTAAAGCTTCTTATTACTGGTATTGTGGGATTGTGTGAGGCAGCCTTTTCCAAGTTTGATGCCCTCAGAATGTGCTGGATTTCAGGTCCCAAAATTCCTCCAGCAAACTGTGCTGATTCTGAGAGCTATCATCTAACACATCTGGAGGGTATTCATGTTGGGAAAGTGTGGTAAGGTGCCACACAGAAAGGATTTATTTATTTATTTACTATACTTTCATTTTTTCCTCTAGAACACATACTCAGAAATTCAAGAATTTGAAAAGCAGATGAAGAAAGAGACTATTATGCCTGCTAAGCTCACTGAAAGGTAATTTTTGACCATGTAACTTACTGGTAAACTTAGCTTGAATTTCATGCTGTGCTATGAAGACATAGAAGCAAATCATCCAATTATTTATTTATTTATTTATTTATTAAAACATTTTTTAATAAATTAAATAAATTTATTAAATTTTATAAATTAATAAGCATTTCTTCCAAGCTAGCAGGTGGACAAATAATGAGTGTTTGTAGTACTGCACTGATTTAAAAGGCTGTTTGCTAGATGTACTTTCCCACTTTTGTTTATCATTGGATGTACTTTGTCTACTTGCTCCTCTAACACTTGGAAATCTTCTCCATGCTGCTGGAATGATATATCCAGTTTGTGAATATTAGCAATATATTCCTGCATAAGTTTGGGGTTTGGGGTTTTTCCTATAACATCTGCAAGCTTTTGACTCTCATTTCAGATGTAATGAAGCCCTATTCTGAAACCTCATTATATAGCATTTCAATTGGATGGAGAACCCATGTGAGTTGAGAAGGCTCTCTGCTTCAGACATTGTGCCAAGTAGTGACTTAAGATCTTTAAGATTCTTGGGCAAGATTCCCACTCTGAGTCGCCTCGCTTTCTGTGTCTACCTTCTCACTGCCATGTCACTACCTGCTCTGCCTCTGCCTCCACCTCCGCCTCATCATAGCTTCCACTTGCTAGCTTGTTGGGCCAAAAGTGATTACTGACATCTCCTGCTCCTCCTTTTCACTGCTACCCTTGTCTGTCAGAACAAAAGGAAGGTGAACAAGCAAAGGGTGAAGAGGAGGAGCAATTCCAGGGCCCTTGCCAGTGAGCTTCTGCTGGAGTGTGAACCCTGGCAGGTGCCCAAGCATGCCTCTCTTTGGTGCTGATTTTGATTATACCTCTGACAGGATTAAATGTTGTGGGGATGGAAACAAAGAGGTGAGGCCAACAGACTCGTCTTCCTTCATGTGAGTCTAATTGTGTTGTGGGGTAGATTCCTGAATAGGGTTCCAAGCATAACCTAAACCCAGTTTGCTGCGGCAGGGTGAGAAGGAAACAGCCTATAGTTACTCCCTCTTCTTCTGCCCAGATGACTAGAGTGGAATGATGCATGGCATAGGGTCATCATGCTCAGCAGTCACTTGCCCCCTTCATGTCTTTTACTGACTGCTGTGGGGTAGAAAAAAGCAGAGAAAAGCATAGCATGTTTTGAAAATGTACATTTCATTGATTTCTGTTGTGAGTAGAGGAAAGAGAAGACTTGTAAGGATTCTATTTTCAGCAGTCATTCCTAGTGCCACTAAAATATTGTCTAGAAATGCACTTGTCTACGCTTTTATTTGATGCCTCTGAGTGCAACTGGACCAGGAAGGAGCTATACTAATTTACAGGTGCTATGCATTTCTTGTAAGTACTTTTCTGCCCCACTTTGGTTCCTAGAATGATTTAGGAAAAGATTAAAACAATTGTAATTCAAATACAAAATGCACTCTATAATAAACTAAAACCACAGAATCATATTATTAAAAGCAGCATAGAACAGTTAAGAGGATTAAAGAAGTATCCAAAAGCTGAGGGGGTGGGTGACTTATTTGCCAGGCACTGGATGTAAAATAGGACAGAATGCAGGTGGACCCCTTTGGGTAGATCATTGCACAGCTGGGTCACCACTGCCAAAAGGATAACTTTGGTGTCCAGCCACCTCACCTCAGATGCTGATGGTTCCTTCAGGGTCTTTCATTGAAGATCTTTATTTATAGGTAGACACAAGTAGAAGCGGATGGTCCTTCAAGATCCCAAGGTGTGGAGGGCTTTAAAAGGTCATAAGTAGCACTTTGTACTTGGAGTTGAACTTGAAGTCATTACACCTGATGCCCACTGAGAAACCTTAGCAATCTGCAATCCATACCCAATAAAAGAGAAGCTGAGGCATATGAACTTTAAAACCAAGAGTAGATTTTGCAAAGCCACAAAAAAACACTCCTTTGGACAAAAGTATGTTCTCTTGTTCCAGCAACAACGCCAGTTAGTCAGAGAGTAAAGCGACTTTAAGATAGTTAGTATTACTTATTTTGTTTCTGTACCACTCACTGGTCAGTCCTTGCAGCGATGTTTGCAACAGTTCATAAAACAATCAAGGCAAGATAACACCATAGACTTTTCCCAAAAGATAAAAATAAAAACAACCAAAGCAACAAAGGATACAGAAAACACTTGGATGGGTACTTCTCTCAAGCCCCTAAATATCCCTTTTTAACTTGAAGCTCAGACACTACTAGAACATGGTCACCAAGAGTCTCCTCAAAAGTGAATTGGCATTTGGGTTGAAAGAGGTTCCCAGTCTCTGTTCTGAGAGGTTATGGCAGCCTGCTTCCCCCCGCACACACCCATTTTGCTTCTTCCCTTCCTCATGATGCTGCCAAAAAAGGCTCAGTAGATCATTCAGCACAACCCTAGAAAAAATACACAAGAAACAAGCACAAAAGGAGGAGGCTGTTCTAGCAGTGTCTGGGTCTCAAGGAAAAAAGGGGCATGGTCAAAATTCCAAAAATACCAGCATTATCATAGATTAAAATTCTTAGTGTTAGTAATTCAGCTTTAGGAAAAGCATTTCAGACTTTTAGAATAAGGAAAAATTACTCAAGTGCCAAGAAACCACCAAATAGTTGGTGGGGGGCGGGCAGAGAAGGATCATGGCCAGCTGGGGAACTCTGGTGTGATGGACCAGCACCCTAGGAGGGATTGATTTGGCCTTTGGGCCTAAGACTCCCCACCCCTGTCCTAACAGTTTTGAGTGGAAAATGGACTCAAGTAAGAAAAAGTTGAAAAGAGAGAGAGAGAGAGATTTCCTCCCCCTTTCTTTCTTTAATCAGTTTTTGATGTTGCTGGAAGATGGTCTCAGAGACTACGGTAGAATGGTGTTGTTGGGGAGGTACTTTCTTAACTGCTCTGATTTTCCCTCCTTATGCTACTCTGTAAAGCACTATGTAAATTTATATTGTTGTAACAGCAATAATAACACAGACAGCAGCGGCTCCTTTGGCCACTTGTATAAAATTTGTAACATTAGATGTTCCCAATTTTTTTCTTAGCATGATCCAGGTGGCCATACAAGCTAAAACCCCAACTGTCACTGAGCTTCTAAATACCTACTCAGATGATGAATATATCAGGAAAATCCAGAAACGGCTTGAGGAAGACACCTTTGCTCGTGAGCAGCGGGAGAAAAGACGACGGAAGATGCTAAGAGAACAATTAATAGCCCATGAAGCACATGAAGTGAGTTAGATGTGGTGCCTGCCATTTTTTTAGAAAATGGGTTGGGAACACTGCAGTGAATTACCAATTTGTACTAAGACATTCCCAGAGGATGAGGTGGCTAGATGGAGTCACTGGGGCAGTGGGTGTGGGCTTGGGTAGACTCTGAGGGATGGGGGACGGCAGGAGAACCTGGAGGAATGTTGTCCATGGGATCATGATAGGTTGGGCATGACTTTGCGATTAAACAAACAAACAAACAAAACTAAGACATATCAAATGCCCTTCCCAAGGCTTCCATCAGTTGTGTGGTCTGTAAAAGGGAAATAAAATCTAGAATTTGCAGTAAAACATGCCTGTTTGAGAACCAGCCAAAATAATAAGTAATCTTTCAAGTTCTTTTAAAGTTTTGGATTGAAGTTAAGCAAAATGGTGAAGAGAAAAAGGTTGACATGATGTTACAGCTACAGAGCCTACAACTGTAACAATTTTAAAATGAAGTACACAAGTAGTGCAGACATAATTGGATTAGCCCTTGCTAGGTGCTAAAAAGATTTGAATTGCAATGAGGGCTGCCAAGACGAAGAAGTAATCATGGTTGATTTCCTAATGGTTATGCTCAATATAAAACCTAGCAGTCATTCAGATTCTTTGCCTCAGCAGTGCTTGATACAACCTGAAGACCTTTTAGAACCCAGTAGAAACTACTGTAATGTTTAGTGGAGTTCTGTATAACCTTACCTGGAAGAAAATTCCATTAAATTCAATTGAACTTACTCCCATGAAAGTATGTTTAGGTCATGCTGAAATAGATTTTCCATTTCTGCTCATTGTTGCTGGAAACACTTAGGCAGTTCTGTCATAGGCTTTTATTTTACTTTAGGAGGCATATAGGGAAGAGCAGCTCATCAATCAGCTGATGAGACAGTCCCAGCAGGAGCGTAGGATTGCTGTACAACTTATGCATGTTCGGCATGAGAAAGAAGTACTGTGGCAGAACAGAATTTACAGAGAAAAACAGTTTGAGGAAAGACGCTTGAAAGAATTCCAAGAAGCTCTTGACAGAGAGGCGGTAAGGGTTTTTTTTACCCTTCTTTATCTGTTATCACAATGGAATGCATTTATTTTTACCTGACTTTGTCTTCAAGCAGCCTCTGGACTCTTTTGTAAAAGGGCTTCAATGTGTTATGAAACATGTCCATGTATTTAGCAGAACCCAACAATCTTAAAATTCTTAAAAATCTTAAAAATCTTAAAAATATCGTGCTGTAAGCCGCCCCGAGGTTTCGGCAAGGGGCGGCATAGAAATGCTATAAATAATAATAATAATAATAATAATAATAATAATAATAATAATAATAATAATAAAAATGTTCAGAGCATCTTGGTGTTAAAAGGAACAAGCGGGTCATCAGGTCCAGCCTCACAGGCAGGATGTTTCATATGTCAGTTCCCCTATACATGGAATTTTACAAGCCTCACCAGAAGGTTGTCATCTTGACCTGTCACCAGAATTGGAAGGTGCAGTGCCAGAACAAAGAATACAGTATGTGTCAGCAATTTGCATCCAAAACATCTGGAACAGCTCTTAAGATCTCTCACCACTGGCTGTGCTGCCTGTGCTGACGAGAACTGTAGGCCATAACATTTGGAGAAGCACAAGTTGCCCACCCTCGAGTAAAACCTTTTTCTTCCTCCTTTGTGCTGTGCATGAGCTGTCTCTTGTAGCACACATGTGCACTAAGATAATACAAGGAGGGGGGATTGTTAGAGTCTAACGTAGGATGCATGTGCTGAAATAGCATGCGCAGTGAATTCATCTGTTCTCTTCTACCATGAGGAGACCTGCTACTTAACCATAGATATATAGCAACCACTGCTTATTTGCAGAGGATTTCTGCTAGGCTGTCTACAGGTCTGTTTTGGGCTATTTTGGACAAGCTGTTTGCTCTCAGTCAAGTGAATGATTCCTATCTCATTCCAGGACACTACTCACCTATGAGGCTGCTACCTGAGATGTGCAACATTTCAAAACTCATTCTGTTTGAGCTTAGCAGACTTTTGGCACATCTTTGAGCTGATTGTGAAAAGCAGTCTGAGTCGGGGGAAAGAGGAGGTTTCAAAATTTCTCAAAATATGTCTGTATGTTGGAAACTGAAGGCTGCATGTCTCAAGTGCAGTTTGCACAGAGCAGGGGCAACTTACCAGAGTCCAGTAACACATGTTGTTCTTGTTGTAGAATTTACCATGAGAAATACTAAAATAATTGAGCATCCTCCTCCTGTTACTTAGGCATATAATCCTACCTTGGCCATCCTGGATTTTCTGACAGTTCAGTTGCAGAGTAGAGGCCCAAATTCTATGCAAATCTCCCCAGCTTAATTAAAAAATACTCAGATTGTAGCCCACTTCCATGTAGCCCACATGGAAGCCCATGTGATGGCTGGACTTACATCTTATCAGTTGATGCCAGCACTGGGTTGATAGACCAGAATCTGTGGGGTTGTGTTGAAAAAATCTGTTGGCTTTTCACCCCCTTACTGGAATCCTCACACATCCCTTGCTGTTGCCATTCCAGAAAGACCAACTGAGGGCAAAAATGAAGGATAACAGTTTTAAAAGAGCCAGCAAATGTTCTTCATGCAGAAAAGCCATCATGTAAGTTCAGGGCATTTTCTGCATAGGTTCCTATTAGCTGTTGCCGTTTTTCCCAGTTAATTCTTCCCCTTGATGGAGGAACAAGCTCTGAAGAACTCTATCCAAAGTGTCACTGAAAGGTTGCAACACAACGGCTTTTCAAACTTCTTGTCTTAAAAAAAGAGTTTCCGCATCAGGCTTTCTGCTGAAGAGCCTTTGAGAATCTACCATGTAATTCCTGCCTTGTACAGAGAAGAATATAGAATGTGTTTTCTCACTTAAGCTTCTCCCAGATGAAGCAGTTGAGATGAACACTAATAATTCTGCACTTACCATTATTCCTTTTCTGCTGTAAGCTACAAATAGAATTGCAATTGATTTTTCCCCACATTGTTGGAGATACTGCACTTTTCCTGTATGTTCTTTCTGCTATGTTCTGTCCCAACCAGTGAGCATGACATAATTTCTATAGGTGGGAAAGCTCAGCTTCACCTAAGAAGCTGCGTGAAGCTACAGCCTTTGCAGTAGGCACCATTTAATCACATTTATTTATTTTTAATCAGTCTTTTACTTGGTGAGTAAAAAATAAATAAAAAATGGGGGGCTCACTTCAGATTTGCCAATCAGGATCTACCTGATACGCATACAATTGTGCAAGATTTCAAACCAATCTGATAAAAAATAGCCACAGGTATAGCTATTAAAACACACAGATTCTTTCTCATGCAAAGGGGAGGAATGTGCACAAAGAGGGGAGCGACCTGGCTGTAGAGAAAGAGACCTCCTGCCCCTGGTCATGCTGGATCACTTGGCCTTTTCTCTGCATGGCAGTAGGACAGTCTGTTTCTTTGTGCAGAGAGAGGCGAAAGTGTGCATGGTGTGTGAAGCTGGGGTATGTACATGAATGTGTGAGAGAGGGAGTTTGGGAGGAGGGTACCTCACCTATGTTGTGCTTTGGCCCTGCCCAAGACAGAGGGCCGATGTATGACTCCCATCCTGGTTCCAGGATGCCACTGAAACCCTTGAGGTGAAAAAGATCTCCCCGCTCCTGTCCAAAATGATCAAATGCATTGTTTGGAGGAAGCTCTTGAACTCATGGTTGTCCCATTGTTGCCATCAGAGGCGCAGATGAACTTGCTAGCTCAAAGCTGCTTTTATCAGATTACATCGATATGTTAGGTTTCATTTGCTGCTTTGTTTTATTTGTGCTGCCTTTTTTTTTTTTTTTGCTGTCATTATTTTAGCATTATTATGTATTTTATGTTTTTAATTTACTGAACATTGCCCGGCAAACTTTAAGTAGTACAAGTCTAAACATGTAATAAATAGATGAGCAAAGCAATTGTACTACCTGATCCCTCCTAACCTCTGTCACCTTAGGGCATTCTTTGTGTGTGCACGCATGCGTGTGTGCATGCGTGTGGGACAGAAACAGAGACACTTCTTTGCCAGGGCTTCACTAATTGGCCTTCACATTAGAGACTAGTGCAATTGTGGCCTCTAGTGGTCAGGAGGTTACTATGCATGGGGATATTTGCTCCCACCTTCTTTGGAGGAGGAATGCTACTTTCTCTGTGAATATACAGTGGCTGCCACCACCCCTATTAATTTTCCATACTCTGAACCCAAATTGAGATCTGTGGTGCTCTTTGGAAATGAAGGGCAGACCTTCCAGCTCCCCTGTAAGTAACCAAGCAGTTTTAGACATAAGCACTGTGTCTTACCATTCCTGGATATTAACAGAATTACTGAGGCAACTCCAGGCTTCTAATTCAAACCTATTCAGTGAGTCAGGATAAAGACGTAGGAGAAATAAGACAATCATAAGAAGGGGTGCAGTAAGTACTGCCCAGCCTTACCCCAACTTTCTCTAACCTGGTGCTTGAACTACAATGCACATTATCCTCAGGCACCACAGAGATTGGGGGGGCAGCATTTCTTACCTTTCATTTGTCCTGCAAAGGTAGAAGTGGTGGCCATAGGGGAGTGGGCAAATTCTCCCATAGTATCGTTCACATGATTATAAGGGAATGCCACCATTCTGATAAGGACAGTTTAGCTACAGCTTAATGTGGCAATCGGACTTCTTTCTTGCTTTTTTAGGAAAAGAAAACCTGCCATTGAAAGTCTTTTATCCACCTGGATATTCTGAAATCCCTCACCCTTTGCCTCAAAAATAAGTCTAATATTGAGGGGTAGAAATGCTGGGAAAAGTCTTGGATGAATACTTTGCCAGCACCAGCTTAACCTTCCCCAGCTAAGTTCCACTATAGAAAATAAGCCCTGGTGATGGAGAGGGAACAGCTTGAGGGGAAGGTGAGCGGAGGAGGGAAGGCTGCAGTCAGGAGAAGTATTACATCCACTATTTACTTTCTTCCCTGCTGAACTTTCCTCTTCCATTATTATTGCTCAACAGACAAAGGCTTTGGGGTGTTGTTTGTTTAAAATTACCCTAATTTGGGCTGCATGGTCCAGAGGGACATAAACTTTGAATAATGAAATAGAGCTCTATATTTTAATCTGAACTCAGTATTAATGTGTCGTCTAGTTAATTCTGGGAACATGACCATTCTTGCTTTTCAACTCCACTTAGGCTCTTGCAGAACAAGAGAAAATTGAGCTTGAGGAACAGGCCCTTAAAGAAAAACAAATGCATGAAAGACTTGCTGCTGAAAGAGCCACCGCTCGCTATAAGAAGCATTATGCAATTTGTTGGGAAGTAGTTGAACAGATCATTGACTTAGTGACCAAAATCGGAGAATATCGAACACTGACAAACAAGTACGTTTATTTATTTGTTGTAAGCGTCCCAGTGAGCTTCAGCTTTTGGGCATTATAGAAATGAAATTAATAATATTTGTTTATTTTATTTCTATACCACCTCAAAGCCAAAGCTATACATTGTTTTCTTGCAGTGTCCCTGCTTTATACTGGGGGAAGTAAACGGTAATATTAATTGCAAAAACATAGGTACAGTTTCCTTTTCAATGGGATTTTCCAAAGTAGAGTAAGCTGTAATGTTCAGATGCTTGTTCCAGCTGCTTCCTCATTAGCACTATTCAGTTCCACTGTACACTTGTTAATTTTCAAGCATGATCTGTTCTCCAACCCTTATTGGAGCTCAGTTGTATGAGTGGGATGGGATATATTTAACTGGATTATCAGAAGGCTCAGTAGTACCCTGTTCCTTCCCATCTGGGCTGACTTTCAGTATGGGAGCCCCGTATTCAGGGCAAAGATGGTAAGAAATAAGTATCTGATTATCTTGACTCTTCTTTGTTACTTGATGGTTCCATATTCTCTGCCTGCTTTCTAACCAGACTGTTTCCACAGATAGTAAAGCTTTTCCTTTAAAAGAAATTTACAAGTAGGGTCCAAGAAGTTGTCCTGAAAAAGGCATATGGTAGTAGAAGAGGCCTAACCATAGACAAGACATTGAATATATTGGATGGCTCCCTAGAAAAATTGGTCTTATCTGTGAAGAATCTGATTCAAGCTCTCTTCAACTTGTCATTGGTGGAATCTTTTTCCATTATAAAACAGCAGTGGCCCTTCCTGAGCAGAGAGAATGCAATGGCGGGCTGAACACACAGAGCAGTAGATTGCTCGTACGAAAAGAACACTTTAAATTCTGTGCTCTCCATAATAGCTTCTTCATGTTGTCTACATGATATTTCTATTGACTGACCTCATTCTTTACATGCATGTGCCTCTCTTTCTTAGTGTTGTTTTGCTTCATTTCCACAGCTTAATCCCAGTAAAGTTGATGCGTGACTGGAAGGAGCTATTCTTAAAAGGGAAACCAATTTATGAGCAAGCTGAAATTGATCCTTTGCCAACAGAACCGACTCCAGAACAATTAATAGAACTGGACAAAATGAACTTACTAGATGAAAAAGATTATGATGAATACAAGGTACTCCCAACTGAAATGGGCTAACAGAAGAACACGCAGTTCACAGAATTATTGCTCATAATTGCCACCCTTTCTCTGTGATGTTTGCATAGATTTCATATGACCATTTACATTAGTTTAGCACTCATTTTTGCATGGTTAAATATATTCCTACTCTGTCTTACTGGAACTGGTTGAAACCTTGATTGACTGCCATTTTAGAAAGTTGGATTGTTTTTAACCATAATAGTACATCTCCAAATACAGTAGCATCAGTATGCAAAGACCACCAAGATTAAGTTAATAAGTACATAATGAAAACTTAAGCAGAAGTTAAACTGTAGTGCATTCCATTGTGTTAGAAAATGTAACATAAAGGAGTCCACAAAACTTAATGCAAAATAAACACAACATCTGTCACAAAATGAGTAGTCTTGTTTCATACAGCACAATTGGTATCTAACAAAAAATGGTGAATTAGATTTTTGTAGTCAAATTCTTGGTATTACAAGATCAGCTTATTTCCATGTCATGAGTTTTATATAAGGCAATTCTGAGAAACAGTTCTTATCATTATCATCTCCATGTAGGAATCTAAAGAAGTAAAATTCTAGTTAAGTGCTTAATGTGTCTTCTCCCTGCCCCACCTTCAGTTTTCAAAGGAAGACTATTATTAACTAATTAAACTGTGAATAGATGTTTCTTCTGATAAACCATTTTAATTATTTTGTTATTACAATATAGCTGCCTTTAGATGGGAAGTGGGGAAAATCACTTGAATCTTTTGAGTTTGAATGATTTCTACTATCCTACATGAATATAAACGTATTTCCTTTGCAAATAGCCTGTGCTTTTAAAATCTTGTTTGGGAAATGAATACCACATTCAAATGTTCTCTTTGAGCCCACATCCTGAACCAATTTGGTACATTTTATTTTGCACTAGGTAGTAAAACTTGGTTAGGAGTTGGTGTGGGGGTTGTCATAATACAAAACAATTTAGTTTTTGTTTCTTTTAAGTTTTAATCTCTGCAAGTGAAAGTTGTTTATTTGTTCAGAAGGCTTTTAAAATAGATGTTACGTTTAGGAATACAGGAATCTGTTGATTTTAGTTTCTCATTTTTTCTACCTGTAGTTTAGATCTTTAAGAACTTATCCAGTATTAAGTACTGTTTTATCTTGTACTGTGAGATATTTGTTTTCAAGACTGCATTGAAAAATCAGAAATATTTTGGTGCACATTTATGCTGATACATGCATTTTTCTATGTATGGTTTGCTTGCAGAACTCCACTGAAATATTCTGAGAAGTACATATTTTAAAGAAAATGTGCACAGGGATTTTCTTGAAAGGGCAAAAGCTATTCTGTTCGTTAACATTAACACCTGTGTTTGTCTCATTGGATTGGATCCAAGTGTAGTCATGCTTCAAGCATACTTATTTTGATTGAGTACATGTCATGACTAATGCATTCCAATGATTATAGAGGGTCTACTCTAAGTACAGCTAAATCAAGATCCAGCCATTATTCTTAGTAGCCCTAGCACTGTAGGCTTGGTTGTCAGTAAATAGCCCCAGAGATTGATGGGTACATTATTCCTATTACCTCCAGTGGACTGAGCTGCAAATTTCAGCTCAGTCCAGATGTTACCAGTGCATCATGGTTATTGCTTTTGCCACAGCTTGATCCCATGAAACACTGATGATGTTTTAATGAAGTAATGGTATGGGACATGCAGGCCATCTGAGCACATCACTTGTCTGGGATCAGACCACAGTATCGTAGTATAAATATAGACAGAGTATTTCTTTTAAACTCTTTGTATGTTGCTTTCTCAGTGCAGTTGATCACACTACTATTTAGGAAATCTGCATCATGTGCCTACTCTAGAACTGGCTTTAGAAGCTTTTCCTGCTCAACTAGAATCCACAAGGAGTAAAATGTAGGAGAAAAACACAAACAGCATTAAAAGATTGGAACTGAGGCGATCTGCTTATCCCAGAGCTATGCATACAATTGCTTATGAGGCAATAGTTTAATTCAAACAATTTCCATTATTATTATTATCCTTATTCTATTAAACATAAGTAGTCAGAGATCTTTTTTCCTTTTTTTGTAAGATCATATCCTTTTTAAATTTAGTGGTACAACTGCTGAATGCTCTTATGGCCAGACAAGGGACATAAAGCAGTGAAAAAACTAGTTACGCACAATAGTTAACAAGGACTAAAGAGGGTTGTCAGAGACAGGGCACTTTGGAGAGTTTTCATTCGTAGGGTTGCCGTAAACCATAGATGGCTCAACAGCATGTGGCGGCGGCAGCAGCAGCAGCAGCAAGTCCCCTCAGATTCTCCATCCTGCCTGTGGGCAGGAAAACTGAGGGGACCACTCCCCCAGTTTCTCTATGGGAAAATAAATTCTCCAGCACTTTATCAGAGATGTGGCTCACCATTTGTGATGACAATTACAAAGCTGCTTCTCTTCCCAAAGGACGTCTTTGTGGCTGCTACCAGTGCTGACAAGAGCAACTGTGTTGCCAGCCTGACCAGTATTTGGCACTAGTATTGTGTGTATGCAAGGGCAGAAATGGTGGTTGCCACCCCCCAGAAATGCTGGAGAATATTCATGGGAAATTCTGCAAAGTGGCTGGCTTTTAATAAGAGTCTGAGGTAGTGGGCAGGGGGAGCAAAAATGTATTTTGAAAAGTTACAGCTCAGTCATGGAACTCACGCTTTACATGCTGAAGTCCCCAGATTCAATATGTGGCATCTCTAGGTCAGGCCTGGAAAGGCTCCTGTCAGAAACCTTGGATGTGCCTTGTCCTCTGAACTGTACAACACAAAGAATATTTGTAACCCTTATCAAAACTAGTGTTCTGATAAAATAAAATAGTTTTATGCCAATCATAATCTTGATACCACAGATTGCATAGTTAAAAATACACTTGGGTTCTCTTGGGTCAATTCTCAATTATCAAAACTGAGAAGAAAAGCCACCAATTAACTAATTTATCTGCTCTTTTAGGGAATGTTGTGGTGTGAAGCTCTTGATTTGGTATTTTAACTTCCTTTTCAATGCAGTTATGAGGGGTGTTAATATGGTGCATATTTTTATATTTATATATCTTTTTTCATGAAAACAACTTGTACCCTCTTTAGCCCACTTTTCTTTAGCAATAATACTAGTAGTTGTAATAGGTTAGATATAGGCTAAGTTCCAATTGAAATCAAGTCCTACTCATTTCAATGGGAAATAAATGCAACTAACTTATTGTTGAGCCTGTCTAATAGCTTGTAATCTGTGGAATGAAGCTGATGAAAGGGTTCTTGCATGCCTTTTTTGTTCATGGTTTTAACTCCAGGAAAGACGATACCCTTATTTATACTTGTAAGTAAGCCCTCAAACACTACTATTTTGCAAAAATGTTTACTAGCTTATACAGCCTGTACAGGAGTGACCAAGAGTTGCATTTCTGTGTGTGGCAAGGTGGAGAAAGTCCCTTTTCTAGCAGCCATCTTGATTTCTGTAAAGGCAACAAAGGAGAGGCACTCCAACCCTTTGATGCTGCAAGACTTAATGCTCAATCTATTCATTGGACCCCAGATTTTTTACCCAGAGCCCTGAGTGGCTGCTGCTGCAAATTCAACATTTTTCCTCAGCTTAATTGCCATGCAAGGGGCAATTTTCAAGGGGAACCTCAGTTGGGAAAGGAGGGTTAATCATGTTGCAACATGCCCCCAAAATTTCCTTCTTATATCAATTTTTCCTTGTACTTAGTTGCATAAGGTTGTGGAGGGGATTGAACTGCTCATGAAAAAAGCTTATCGGCCCTTCTTAGTGCATTTTTCACACCATATTAGCTATTGCAAATTATTTGCAATCAAAGAGGAACTATTGACTTAAAGTGCTAATTAATTTTTAAAATAAGATTTGGCTTAACTAGTTTAAAATATTATTGACTGGCTCAGTCTTTTGTGAAATTTAAATAAATTCTAGTGATTTCTCAATTTTTGTAAATAGATATAAATTGGCATATGAAAATTTAGGCTTGAACTCTAAATCCTTAGTGCCTAGTGACACTCCTACCTCCTGCCCCAGCCTATTCTTTTACCTGCATAGAATGTAATGAGAACATCAGAATCTTGGTGTAGCTCTGCCTTTCTGGAGAGCCCGTGTGGTATAGTAGTTAGAGTATTGGACTGGGACTTGGAAAATCAAGGTTCTAGTTCCTTTTCAGTCATGAAGTTCACTTGGTGACTTTGGGCCAGTCACTGGCACTCAGTTTTTTCCAGGGTTGTCCTGAGGATAAAAAAGCAGGAAGACTATGTATGCCACCTTGGGTTCCTTCCAAGCAGAAAAAGGTGGACTATAAATATAATAAAGAAAGAAATGACCATTAACTGGATCAGTATGGTAGATTCATTGTGTAAGCCCATGCCAGCTCTTCTAGGCTTCTATGTTTAGGCAGCTCTACTCTATTCCTCAGTTAAAACTGCACTTCTCCCATCTGGAGATATATCTTGGGTTATCACTGATTAGGTGCCTTCAGCACACTTGTGTAGTGGTTAGCATATTGAACTGGGGCTCAGGAGATCCAAGTGCTTTTCCCCAGTTGGCCTTGGAGTTTACTAGGTAAGCTTGGGCCAGTCACTGACTCGGCCTAACCTACCTCACAGGGTTTTTGTGAAGATAAATGGAGAGGTGAGAGGATTATATGTATGCTGCCTTGGAGGAAAGATGGGATATAAATACAACAAATAAACAAAAGCACACAGTAAGTAATCGCGGCCCACGTTATTATTTATTATTATTATTATAACATTTCTATGCCGCCCCTTGCCGAAACCTCGGGGCGGCTTACAACATGATAAAATACATTGAAATACAATAGTACATAATAAATTACCATTAAATATAAAAATACAAAAAATACATTGATTTACAAATAATAACATTGCTGCATTGCCTCTCTGTATGGCAAATGCAAGTTAGTATGCTTATAAAGTTTCATGAAAGAAAAGTTGATGTTGATATGGAAAAAGAACGTGCCACATAATAGCATATTGCCACCCACCCACCTACCCAAATACTGCTTCCCACACTTCCACTTGTGTATTTAAGCATGAAAGAGAAGTGGCTTGTCCTGAAGTACACAACCATACCTGCAAAATTATGTTACCTTCTAGTCAAGAGGAGTTGTCCAACATCAGCTTCTGTCTCTCTTTGCTCATCTACCCTTTTTCCATTCCTAATGAAGAAACTATGAAGCAAGTTCATGAATCCATCATTTTTTTAAACTTCTTCCTTGAACTGCTTTCAGAAAGTAAGTGGATTTCTCAGTAATGCAAATGATATATTGTTCACATCTAACAATTCTGATCCTCTAAACCAGGATATGGAAGAAACTAATGAACCTTGTACTCTCCATCCATTCTGCAGTTGGGCATTCAGACTTTTGAACCACAAAATATGGTTTGTGCGTGCCTATCAAACCTTTATTGGAAACCCTATGGCTCCCAAACCAGACTTTTGAAGGAGAGCGCAAACCGTACTTAGATGCTTCAGAGCTATCAGTAAACTATGGATTTTCTGAGCCAGAGTAAGACTACTTGAGAATAGGCATGCTGAGCACATGACTTATTTTTGGCTATTCTCCAGTGAGGCTGACACATAATTCAGTGAAATTCCCTGTCTGAAAGAACTGAAAATGGAAACCTGCAGTATTTTCTTTTATTGGCCCTTGGTAACACAAGGCCATGTTCCCCATCTTTAGTGCAGCCTCACTGAAGTTGCTGCTTTTCTGCTCCCTCAGATGTTCAAGAAAAATAGAGAACACTGGTGAAAATCCCAGAATTCACCTGGTGATGTGCTTTACAACAGTCTCTTTTCATATGTATTTGTTTCTGTGCAGTCATATTAAAAGCATCCACCATGGTGTTGTTTGCACGCATGATGCAGAGTTAATTTAATAGTCTGAAGTGGCAACATGTTATGTCAAAGACTGAACATCACCAAATTTGAAATAAAACAAATATCCAGACGCTACCATACACATTTACTCTCTTGCAAATGTCATTAGGGTATGAAACTCTGTTGGGAAAATGTGCAGTATGCTTTCTTCAAAGCATTTCTTGTCAAATGCTGGATTGGGACTGCTAACCATATTTGCCCTGGTTATTTCTTGCTTGGGTAGTATACTGTGAAGCCACATAAATGTCACGAGTTGCCATTCCACTAGCAGGAAATGCATCCCTGTTTTGGAAGCCATTTTGATGGTTCAGTGCAATTGAATTTCCTTGTGTATCTGTATTATAATTTTAGGAATTTTTCTGTGTCTTCAGCCAGACCAAAGTTTGTGGATCCGGAAGGCAGGCCAGGGAAGCATAATAGGATCACACCTGTTGCCTGTTGCACTGAAAATGATGGCCAAGCAACACATTCTGCTAATTCTACCCCTAGCTCTTCACCAGGATGTGTATTAAACTGGATTCCCAAAGAGACAGACTTCTTCTTTAATCCTGATCCCATGGAGGCCATTATCAGAATCATTAAGCATAATCCTAAGGGCTGTAGAGAGAGGTAAAAATGTAAACATTGAGGTCAGAAGGAACTGAAATAATCTGTATTCTTTGCACTTCATTTACTTCTGACCTCACTGCTTATATTCTTTTCATGTGCAAGGAATGGTAGCCTTTAAGTTTATCCTTGATTATTGTTTTATAATATTCACATCCTGAAATATGTTATCGGATCAAAAAGGGTATTGAGTTTTCTATGTTGGTTGAAAACTAAAACTGTGCTGGTATTTATATGTTTAATATTTGTTTCTATGCGAAAGAGGTAAATTTGTATTATTTGTCTAATATTAAGTAATGATATCCTGTGAGAGTTGCAGTGGAAATCAACTGAGTTTACTTCTGGAAGGAGCATCCCTTCCAACACGATTCTTCTAGGGGAAGTGATGAAGGGCCTTCACCACTTCCCCTGGAAGCCCTTGTGTGCTTCATAGGGGTGAGAGATCCTTTGGGATAACAGGGAGGCTGCAGAGGGAAGGAGGAGTCAGTGAAAATAACCTCTACTTTTCACTGGTGGGATCTCAGTCTCTTTGAGCAGAAGGAGCCCTTTTGTTCATAGCAGCCAACTTAAGATCCAAGCCAATGGTAATAAATAATTTCACCAGATTATTGTTTTATGCCCAAAAAGGCATCCATTAGGTTTCTAGATGTCAAAATTTCAAATGCTTTAGATGCTACTTCTAGTAACAGACAGTCAGAAAGACACTTTAGTCATTTGTAAAGCAGAGAGGTAGATCTCTAGGCGTTTTAGATTTCAACTCCCTAAAGCCCCTACCAGCACAAACAATGATCAGAAATGCTGTGAGTTGAAGTTCAAAACATCTGGAGGCCTCCTTTCTCCCACCCATGTTGTAAAGAATTTTAACTTTTCACATGTTGCTGTTGATACCAATTATGAATTTCATAGCTTTTTAAAAGGTTAATGTGGGCCAATGTATTCTCGATGGACAGAGCGTCCTGTGTTTAGATCCCTTTACCTATCCTGTGCTGCTCCAGCAAGACCCAGGTAGTCTGGAAACACTTTTGCCTCTGTTCCTCTGCCTGAATCATGAAAAGCATCTAGATTGACTTCTGAGCCCATCTAGCTGACCTGTCTGTGGAGGAACAGGTAGGAAACCAGAGAGACAATAGAATCCTGCATATGTTGGCCCCTCCCCTCCTGACCCACCAGCTCATACCTTTTCTCCTTTCCTGACTTCTCTTACAAGGTCACAGTTGCAACCTTGTAAAAGAAGTGCTGAGAAGAGGTGGGGCACCACAAGGTCCATGCGGACTCCACCTCTCTGCTTATAGCTTGGACCTCCCCAGAGAGGTCCACCTGGTGCCATCATTATTTGTTTTTTTGGAGCCAGGCTAAGACCTTTTTATTTAAAAATATGTTAATAATGGTTAATATCTGTAGGTTTTAATTGTGCGGCCAGGGTATTTCCGGATTTTAATTGTATTTTGTACTACGCTTATTTATGTGAGCCGTCCTGAGGCTATAAGTGATGGGACGGCATACAAAAACTCTAAATAACAAACAAACAAACAAATAGCTCTCCCTATGGGTGCAGAGGAGGAGATCCAAAGACCCTGTTTTGTGTTCAATGGATTGCTCTCTCCATGATTAACTACTGTTCATTTGCTATGCTTATAGTAATAAGGAAACTTGTAATTATAGTTACTTGTAGGCACTACTGCTGAAGTCAACAAGTTGGCTGGTGATCATGGTAAGAACAAGATTGAGTATATGAATCCTGCTATTACGATGTAGCACTGACTTCCTGGTGTGTGATGTAAATCAAGTTCATTTGCTTCTGTCAAATAGTCTGTTAGTTGTTACATGTCATCAAGCTGTCTCTGATTTATGGTGACCCTATGAATTAAAGCCCTGCAAAATATCCTGTTCTCGACTGCTCTGCTCAGCTCTTGTAAACTCAAGAATGTTGCTTCTCTCTTTTATGGAACTGATCTGTCTTATAGTTGGTCTTCTTATTTCCCTTTGTTTTTTCCCCTAGCAGTATTGTCTGCTCCAGTGGATCTTTCATTTCCATGAGTTGCCTGAAGTAAAGAGAGATTAGTTACTCAATGAAGCTTAAAAATGGGTCTAATCCTTAAAAGCCAGATGTACACAGAGCTGGAAAACCTTTAAATTTCTAGGTTGCACAGTTGCCGTTTTCAAAGCCTGTGATTCAGTTATACACAGTGCAGAAGTTTTGTGATTAGATATCCCAAGTTTTGTTTTATTTTTTTACTTTAAGATGGTTGGGGTATGGAGTTGTCACTGAGGAAGAAATGCTGGGAAATGAGAGATTTGATACCTTTTGGCAGCAGCACTGAGTGGAAAATGTTCACAGGTTTCTGTTTGTTTGTTTTTGTGTTTTGACTTGCAACAGAGTATGACTGAAGAATGGTACCCACCTGAAGAGATCAGAGCAAATAAACCTCCACCTGATAACCCCATACTGGGTCATGTGATTCACAGGCTGATGGAAATTATCTATCCCCCAGAGCCAGAACCACCTCCACCTGTATTTTCTCCATTCCCTATCAAAGGATGTATTTTGGGCAAGCTCTATAGTGGAAAAACCACAAGCTTAAAATTTTTGGAGAAAGGTACTATTGTCATCTTTTTTTTCTTGGAAACAGACACATTTCCCACCCCTCCCTCCCTCCCTCCCTCTCTCTCTCTCTCTCTCTCTCTCACATATTCTCTGGGTGTGTATGCATGTGAATGTGTACTTTTTCTAGAAAACTGTGGCTACCTAAACTACCAGCATAATTTATAGATCAAAGGGTATAGATATTTTGCAGAATCTGGCTGATTAAAACATGATTCAGAGGTTGTAATCTGATTCCTGAGACAGCACCCAGAGGTCATAGAGAGTTCAGCTCTTCCCTTTAAGGCTAGATATATGACTCAGAGGAAGAAATCCAGTTTGGGGGTCCTATTGTCTGTGGGGGGGGGGGATAGTGGATCAGAAGCATGCCATGGATCACAGAATCATAGGATAGTAGAGTTGGAATGGGCCCCCTGCTCAGTGCAGGACTCCCACTTAAACCATCCCTCTCAGATGACTGTCCAACCGCCTCTTGAATGTCTCCGGTTTGGGAGAGCCCACAACTTCTGTAGATGATTGGTTCCACTGTTGTACTACTCTCACAATCAGGAAATAGTTCCTGGTATCTAAGCAGAATCTATCTTCCTGTAACTTGACCCTATTATTCCATGTGTTGCTCTCTGGGATGATTGAGAAGAGGTCCTGGCCTTCCTCTTCGTGACAGCCTTTCAAGTGCTCCTGGAGTGCTCTCAGCCTTCTCTTCTCGAGGCTAATCATGCCCAGTTCTTTCCATCTCTCCTCGCAGGGCTTTGTTTCCAGTGGGGTGGGGGCAGCTCTAGACATGCTCTGTCCAAAGCCCACCAGCTCTTTGCCATGGCCCTAATGTGGGAAAGCTTAGACTAGCCTGGAAGCTGGTCTGTATGCTTCTTTCTCATTGTAAGGTTTTTTTAATGGGAAAAATAGGAGGAAAGGAGTGGTGAATATCATCTCTTCCTCTTTTCTGACCCGATGGCAAGAATTTGGCAGGTCTTAGGAAATGTCACAGTGCTCTGACCTGCAGGTACTCCAGATAAACAACTGGATTGCCTTCCCTGGAGCTTAATGTAGACTGCATTGATGTGATCAGGTTCACTGAGCTTGTCTTGAAATATAAGGCTATAACAGTATGTTTCTGTAACAGCTTGCAATATCCAGGTGCTATCTGTTGACACACTGATTGCAGAGGCCATAAAAGCTTTCCATGAGAATGAAATGGGGAGTGAGACCAGTCTGGATACAGCCAAAGTGGAAGAGCGTGCCTTGGATCAAATCCATGTAAGTCTTAGAAAACCCTGCTTGGTGTGAAAGTACGAAGTGCAACCCAATCCAGTGAGTGGTTGCAAAGGCCAAACTAAATGACACTTTGTGACCCGTTTGCACTGTTGGTGTCAGGGCTAGCTGAAGACATTTTGGTGCCAAAGGAGAGAATAAAAATTGTATTCCCTGCACCTGCGCATGCACACACACACACACACACACACTAATTAACATGAGGCACAAGCCTCTGTTGAGCTATAGTTGTGTTACCTACACTCCTGAGCAAATCTGATTCATCTCTCTGCACAGGAGAACTTCATGGTCAGTTGTGCTCCGTTCACTAGATCTGCCTGTATTCTGCTCTGCATCTGTTACGTAGCAGTGCCTGAACTTTGCTGCCTGGGGCAGTTGCCCTGCTTTAGTTGGGACTCCAGTGTTCAAAATAATAGTCATTCATTGTTATTTTGGTTTCAACATCACTGCAGTGTGAGCAACTGGAAGTGAGCCTGTAGAACATGTGAGAAGCAAGTCATTTCAGTAATCTTTAGAATGGGTCCTCTTGACTATTTGCAGTGGAACACAACTGAAAATGAACTTCCCTTGTGCAAAACCCACTGAAATGAAAAGGATTCGCACAACATGATCTTTGTTTTAAAAATGTGAAGTCAATTGCTAACAATTTGCTTATTTTGTTTGTTTGTTTGCTGGATCAAAAAGTTCCTCAAGCAAGTTTCTAAAGCTTCATTGATGGCTTTAAAAAATAATGACTTAAGAGAAATAAGCATCAACATAATGCTTCCAGAGGAGACCAAAGGTAACAATAAAATAACATTTCAAAAAATATACGTAAGGATTTTTAATATTAAGCAAATCTGGTTTGGTGCCAAATGGCAAATCCATAACTACCTTACCTTGCCACCTATTACCTTGTCCGTACCAGCTCTTCCTTCTTATAGAAGTTTTGCAACAAGTTCTGTTTATTCTTTCTCCCATTAAGGAGTTCTGCCCTCATTGCAGCATGAACTTGCTACATATATCTCCATGACATATATTGGTTATATACCACTGTAATATATAGTTAGAGAGTACTTCATTAAGTAATCAGATTGCTGCAAAAATTGTGCAAGGTTTTGGTTCTCCAGAACTCTTTATCAAGGGGAAGTTACACAAGGTAATGCAGAATTCTAAAGACCTTGAAAGCTTGGGCAAATATGTACACAAAAGCATATGCAGCGGAATCTCTCATCTGTTAAAGCCTTTCCTCACATTATAGAAAAGAGACTATAGAGGCTCAGTCCTGTGAGGTCACTTGTAACCCTTTGACTCAGAGGATTATTGGTATCCAGTGTAGAGCAGTAGGATGACTGAGACAGTGGCTGAATTCACACTTCTACCCTGCACAACAGCCAGACAGCAATTCTGGTTGTCTTGCTGCAGCGTCTCTAAGCAAGAGGAAGGAAGCTGGGGCACTGCTAGGATATGTTACAACTTGGTGGCAGAGCTGGCCTTTTCCCTTCCCTGCCCCTAGTTCACACCCTAAATCCTTTCTCCAAGGTCACATTCACACCCTTGGAAAAGCAGCTGCTGCAGTTCTTTCCATGCTGGCTGTGAGGCAGGAAGGGACATCCCCAGATGGACCCCCAGCTCAGAGTTCAGGGTGGTTCAACCTCAGAGGTGGAGATCTGAAAACTCTATGGCTGTCTAGATGATGTCTAGGATGGCTCTTACGAAGAACCATGAAGAAAATCTCCAAATAGTCATTGGATGCCACCCATGATTTTGCCTGTAAATAAAGGGGGGAAGAATATGTTAAAAGAAATCTGATATGAGGTGCTCAATAAAATAGATTTCACTGTTTTATAAGATCCTTGTGCAGTATTGTACATTGTACTTCAGAAGCAATCCTAGCTCTTGGATAAATCACAGAGGAATAAAGCAGGCAGATTTGCTGTCCACACTGAACTGTGACGGCATAAAGAAAAGAGAATAACATCATTGTTGTTTTTGTTGTTGTTGTCAATAATGACCTCAACACAACAATGCAGTTTCAGCAACGTCACAGAACAGCACAAAACCTCAACAATCCCTAAAATGTGAGAACAATAAAACCAGGAACCAGCTGAATTCTTTGCATATTAAACATTTAACATGGGGCCTAATATAATAAGCACTCCAAGGATCTTTCTGAGGTAGTTCTTCCAGAGGAAAGGCAAGCAAGCCCTGAAAAGACCTCTGTAGCAACACATTTTCAAGTGTTTAGAGTACATTGATACCCATAAAAAATTCACCTTTATAGTAGCTGTGAACTGCAAATACTTTTCATCAAAAAAGTGTGCATACATGTACATCTCAAAACCATGTTAACTGCTAGGAAAAGCGTTTATGCAGACCCAGATTATCTCATCATACTAGAAATACGTATTTTTAAGAACTTGGTTGACCTGGATGATGAAATGGATGGGAGCTTTCTGTGTTTTTGCTAACTTCTCAGAGTAGTGAATGTTTGTGTGGAGCAATGAGTAATACTGTGTGCATACATAATCTACTCACACCAGTACTATAAATATTGCTATTGCATGTAATAATGTTTTTCCATTCCTAGAAACAGTCCAACATACAGACTCCATTCAGATAAGTGACCAAGAGGAGATGAGTGACCAAGAGGATGAATTAACCAAAGTATGCAACTGACTTTTAACTTCTCTTCTGTAAAGTTCCTAAGATTGAGCACAAGAATATGAGAATTGAAGGTGGTATAATAGAGGCATCATTGTCTGTGTCATACAGTACACATTCTTTTTCTCCCATTGTGATCTCTGCTCAGGTATTTCAAATATTTGAGGGGCTGTCATCTTTTGATCCCATCCTTAGTTTTATCACAATGCAATCCATGTGTCTTCCAGATGAGGATCAGAGCTGAGCTGTAGAGTCAGTGGGGGCAGGCCAGGTGTCAGAATTCAGCCAAAGTCTGAAATGTAGGATCAGATCCAACCTGTTTGACAGTAAAAACTTATAGCCCAGGAATCCTTTCCAGCAGGGTCATTGAACCTCAAGCTCAAGGGTCAAATTCTTGGGGATGCCATTCCAGTGATAGAGGAGGGTGACCTGAAATACAAACGGCCTGTTTGCCTATTTTAGCTTAACACTTTTTTTCCTTAGGAGAGGCATTCACATCTTTGGAATATGGGTACCACATAAGCCAAGAAACTCCCAAATGATTGGTGGTGGGGGCGGTGAAACCAGGGAAAGAGGTGTGACCTTCTGGAACTTGATTGGGAATACTAGATGTCTGGAAGCTCTCTACTGCTTTACAGCCCTTCCTGTTGAGGAGTCCAAATGGGCAGCCTGGGTGAAGGCAGAATTTTTCATTCTAGTATGTAGTACATTGCACACATTTGCACGTCCAATTAAGCCACCCTGTGTCATCAACTGCAAAGCACTGGTAAAAGAGAAATGTGGCAAAAGCAGGTGCATTAAAAGAAGGGGAAGCACTATCACCACCTTATCACTCCAGTTCATCTCCATTCAAAGTGTTGAACTGACACTTCTCAGTGCTTTCTAGCTTTCAGCACTTCCCTGAGTCTACAGCTACTCCAGTAAGGGGAAATATTAACCACCTCCTTTTATGTAGCTCATTTTCAGAGCACTTACTCACTGACAGTTAAAAAAATAGCACTGTCAAAATAGTTGCAAATTTAATGACTAGGAGGTAAATATAGGGGAGATTTGTGCACTTGCAGCAACAGAGCAGTTTGCAGAGATGTGCACATTTCCCCTCCATAGAAACAGAGAGAGTCAGAAGGGGCTTCCTGGGCCATCTAGTCTGATCCCTGTCTCCAGCTGGCTCCGCTCACAACATGCCCACCATGTGCATGTCCAGCCTATCTTTGAATACCCTCACTGATGGGGCCTCAGTGACCTCTCGTGGAAGCCCATTCCATACTGTCAAGGTCCTAACTGTCAGGAAGTGCTTTCTGGCATCTCAATGGAACCTTGGTTCCCTGAGCTTTGCTCTGTAGGAGCACATCCTCCCCTTCTCTGCAGGGGAGAACGGGTCTCTACCCACCTCCGTGTGACACCTCCTCACATACCTGTATGTCACCAACAGATCCTTCACTTACTTCCAAGCCATTAAATTTGTGCACATTTCTGCTGGGGGCAGGGTGAAACTCAGGGAAATGCAGTAACTTACTGGAGCAGTTACTGCTTCAAAAAAGAGTCAGCATAGACTACAATAACCCTACAGGAAGCTATGAATATTCTGCATGGATTGTTCCTGGTAATTAAACCATCATGTGGAAAATGCTGTAGGCTCACATGGCACAATGACACCCCCACCCTCCATGGTTGGCTGCTCCTGATGGGTTCTCACAAGAAGGGAATCTCTTCATTGCAAATAGCACGTGTGGGTGGGTGGATGTGGACTCCAAAAAGGATTGTGGCAGGGGCAGTGAGTTAATTCCTTGTTTCCTGCACACCGAGGTTCAGTTTGCCTCCCTGCTGCCCACTTTGTTAGAGAAGAATCAGGCACACAAGAGCCCGGCCTTCTTTAGAAATGATCTTAGCTAGTCTACCTTTTCAAATGTCTTGTTATTTGTTACATTTAGAACTTCCACTAGAAAAAGGAGTGTATGCCCATTTCATCAAATTACTCCGTATTTATTAAGCATTTAGGTCTCTGTTCAATTTTCTTTTACAAATTCCACAGCTGTCTATTCGAGCGCAGCTTGGTGCAGCAGCAGAGATACTGTTAAAGAAAGGAAAAAGCATTCCAGATGAATTACTGATTGGTATCATGGTGGAAGGTATTAGGTAAGAGGCAGCAGAATAACTATATTTCATGTGCTTGTCTGGAATGGACAGCTTTTGCCATCATTATTCACAATAAAGACTAAATTACTCAGATAATAGTCTGCCATTAAAATAATTGTGGCTATTTAGAGGAGCAGCAACTATTTTTAACAGCAGGCAAATACAGCCTTATTTGCCCTGTACATGCAGTTCACAAATCATTATAGTGGATGCTCATGAGGAATCTGTCACCTCTGCCCATGCCTTTTTTGCTAGGAAAAAGCTTTTTTGCAGCTGTCTGAAATTCTCCAAGATTAAAATGGGACGTGTGGTACTTGCTGCATGTAACAAGAACAGGCTATAATTTTCTCTACAGCATTCAGATCATTTGTGTAAAGTCCAGCCTATTATAGATGCAACAGCCAAAATTTTGGGACTTGTTAGGCTTGTTGTTGGCTTTGCAGTTTCTATAATGAGAAAAAGAAAACACTCTTGAACAGGGGATTAGAGTCTACTTCAGCCTGAGGGTGGACTTCTTCAAAGGCCAAATGGGTGGGACTGAAAGAACAAGAGTTGCAAGATATTTTAGCTTAAAATTCTTGCCTCCAGTAACCAAGCCTTTGGGAAAGACAATTCAACCTCTTAAAATGGAGGGAAAAAAATCAACAAAAACCGAATTGATTGGTGACTGTGGGGGAAAGGTGTGGAGCCAAGAGAAGGGCTATGGTCTTCTGAGGGAGAGCCATATTTGGCTGTCCTGACAGCCTCATGTTATCTGCCCAGCTGAAGTCATTTATGGAGTCTTTCTAGCTCAAAGTTGCATACTTTCTGACCCATGAAACTAGATGCCACCCTCCAGCCAAATATTGTGGTCTGCACATGTGTGACAATGCCCCTGTATTTGTAGTCTGTAGTAGCTAGCAGAAAGAACAAGTTCACTGAGCACCTGTAAGCTGCATTCTGCTTTGTAGAACACACTATGGCCTTTGCACCTTTCCATGAAATGAAATGCAATGTGTGCTGAAGTCATGCCAAACATGAAATCTACCTACATATACAATATTGTGCTTCTCATATGGAAATTGTTTCAGAAAGCCATATAGCCAAGGACAGTGTCTTTTCCTTTGGTTTATTTTAAACCCTGACCCTGACTTTTGGGAGCTTTTTGCTGATCAATCACATTTTTTATTTGGCCTGCTTTAGAATCTAAGAACCCTAGTGAATCCTTTAGGTATGGTTAATTTTGTTGTTGTTGTTCTCCTTTTGGGCTTTAGCCAATTACCACCAGAAAAGGGCTGGATCATGGATGGATTCCCAATGACACTGAATCAGGCAAAACTGCTTGAAAAGGCACTGACAGGAAAAGATCCAGATCAGACGGAAACAAAAGCTAAAATCTTGAAAAAACTCGTCTTGGTTGCAAATCCCACTGTTCCAAAAGAGCCGTCTCTGCACCCACCTGGTCTTGACTTTGCTATTTTGTTAGAGGTTTCGGACTTCACTGTGCTGAACCGGGTGGCAAGTGAGAGGTGTAAGCTTACTGGTAGATTAACATAATCGTGTTAATTGTAATAGTCTGACTGATTGCTCTTGTTTATAAGTGACCTGTTTTAGTTTGATTTCAGTGATTACTCACCACTTTAGTTCACTTTTACCGAGATAGATAAATGCCAGATGCCAATGTTCTGTCACATTATAGAGCAGGGATGGTCAGCCTTGCTCAACTGAAGAGCCACATAGATTAAATGCCAGGTGTTTGAAAGCTGCAGGTGGGTGCCTGTGGGTGGCTGTGGTGCACAGCAAGTGGCAAGCAGGTGCGCATGGGTGCCAGAGGCATGTGGCTCTTGGGCCATGGTTGGCCACCCCTGCTATAGAGTGACCAAGTGTTGTACCTTGGGGCAGTAAGGGCAGTAAGGGCAGAAGGCCGCCTGCCTCCTTCGAACAATCAGCAAGAGCCCACTTGCCATTACTACTGCTGTTACATTTTTATACTGCCCGTAGCCAAAGCTCTCTGGGCAGTTTAAAACAGTCATAGAATTATACACTCAAGTCACCCATCTCGATTCTGCATTAGGATGTTCCTAGCATTAGGGTCTTCTCCAGTGACTCCTTCAGGATCAGGTACTTCTAGTTCAAAGACAGATGCCATACTGCAAAAGCTATCCTGAGTTGCTATTTTTCTATAAGCCAGGTCCACAATTCTACCAGTGTTTGACCCCCACCTGGGATATGCTTGCCATCACCAGGCCTCAGCGGTGTAGTGATAAAATTTAAAGTTCAGGTGCTCAACATGTTAGTCCCACCCTAAGGAAAGTCCAAACATTCAGGCTACAGTGATGATCCATAGCACTAAACCAGTTCAAGCAGGTCTTTTGTAATCCAGTGGGTCTTAATTGCCCATTCAAGGCCAAACCATTGTAAAATACTTTCCATCACAATAGAAAATATTTATTTATTTATTTATTTATTTATTTATTTATTTATTTATTTAAAGTATTTATATGCCATCCTGTCGGGAAAGCCTCAGGACAGCTCACATAGATAATAGGTTGTTGTTAGGCAAATTAATTTCCCCCAGCTGTTGTGAGGATTGCAGCTAAACTCAGCAGAAAAGGGGAATTCTAAGTGAGGTGAAAGATAGAAACATAAAAACAGAGTGAGACAGAAGGGGCCTCTCGGGCCATCAAATCTGACCCCCAGCTCCATCCGGCTCCGCTCATGACATGCCCACCACGTGCATGTCCAGCCTATCCGTGAACACCCTCACTGAGGGGGCCTCAGCCACCTCCCGTGGAAGCCCATTCCATACCCAATGGAATGGAATGATGATGTCAGTATCTCTGTTAATTAAAAAAGTGCTGATGTTATGTCCATCTGAAACCTAGATCTACTGCACCCTAGCCAGCCTTGCTTTTTAAGCAGTGTCCAGGAAAGGGGAGGACTAGAAAGCCAAGAAGACTCGGCCTGGAACTCCAGCAGATGCACCAATATTATGAGTATCCTTGGAGGACTTTCCTTTCTTAAAGGAAAATCTCCCAGTGATGCAAGAATGAGCTTTTCTGAATTTCTCATCTCTAGCTAGGCTGGTTGAGAGTTGAATTCTAAAAGATCTTGAGGATTCCAGGTTGGGGATGGCAGATGTAACAGACTAGTGTCGTGATCCCCTTAAGCTAGTGATGAAAACCCTCATGCTTGTGGCCCACCAGTCCAACCAAAGGGCTTGAAGTGATATTTCTCTCCCACCCTCCAAAAGAGAGAGGGAGCAGGGAGAAATTTCATACTCAGATGGTCCTTCAAAGAACTGGTGGATTCCCAAAGTGTCCTCCTTCACCTTCTCCAAGAATGAAGGAGAAAAAGAAACTAAGTGAGCCACAGAAATTAGGGCAGCTGGCCCTGGCAAAGTGTGCTTCACTGCTTCTTTTCCTTCTCTGCATGGGAAGAGCAAAGCTTCTTGGTCAAAGTGGCAGGTGGCGGTGCTTCAGGCAGTGCTTTTCTAGGGAGCTGATGGTCTTAGAGAACCTGATGTCACTGGTGGGGACTTTCCCCTGAAGTCATCCAGTTCATGGGGTGAGAGACAAGGAGCAATCCCAGCCCTTAAGTCCTATACTCCAAGTTACTAAAATACCCTGGCTGGACAGCTCCTTCAAAATTCTGTTAATATTTTCCACCTAGCAGCTGATGCCTATCAAAGTGGGCAAGAAAGAGGCGATCAAACTTCAGATGCAGAAGTCCAACGGAGAGAAAGAGTACATTCGGTGAGGGGCCAGATGCAGCACAGGTTAGTTACAATCAAATGAGCGAACAGCTTCAGAATGTTATGGTATCGTGGTCAGAGTGTCAGACTAGGGGAGACCTACCCTCAAATCCCTGCTCAGATGTGAAACTCTCTGAATGTCTTTGAGCAAGGGCTCTTGGATGGCATAGAAATATTGAAAATAATAGCAACAGCAGCAGCAGCTAGAACTTCGGAGAGTCGGGTCATCCTTCAGAGGATTTGAAACTATGGAGCTATTTCATAATAGCTGAATGAAGGCTTGTGAGTGATAGCTGCAGTTTACTTAAACTGTGGTAGAAACTTAGAAAGTTGTTTTATGGTAGTGACACCTCCCCATTAGAACACAATCCCACAAGTGAGTTGAGTGGTGGAATCTATGGAGAACTTTAAATACCATTTGTTCATTCCCTGACTTGGAATGTGCTCTCTCTGGCTGCTTTAGGGAGCAGTTTGTTTATTTTCTTTACCATCCAATAGCTGAACTCTCTGGGCATAATCAGTAATTGATTATGCTCCAGCCATTGGGTGGTATAGACTAAATACATAACAAGAACAAGCCCTCAGCACTTGTAAACCTCTGAACTTGAATTACAAGCGTCCAGTTCAGGAGCAGCAAAGGCAGCCTCCAACTTCCCGGTCCTTTTGCTCTGCAAAATGGCCAATTTTTGCCATCTAGCTGCTAGAATTTGGAAGGGGAGAGAAGGGGCTGAGTCACCTCCTTTCCACCCCTCCAAGGTTGCTTTTCCAACCTCAGAAAGGCAGCTGGTACAGTTTTTTCCACAGCAACTGTGGAGTAATGCATGTATCCCCAGCTCTGAGGTCAGCTCTGTGAATCTGTAGTATCTGATGCCCTCTAAATGTGGTCTAAGGGACATGGGATCACTGTCTTGAAGTATTTGTTGTTTGAATGTGTTTTTATACTGGCTTTTATGTTGGTTGTATGTTTTTCTATGTAAACCCTGGAATATTGAATGGTACAGAGCAGCTTAATTCAAATACATTTTAAAAGGCTAGGATGTATAAGAATTTCATTCCTGTTCACAAATGTTGTACAGTTGTCCTGTTAGCCATCCCAAATGTAAGTAAGGATAGTTCTTTTCTGAGAAATGTTTACCCATTCCTGAATTGCAATCAGGTTGGAAAAATCCATGTGTATTTTTGTGTGCCTAAAATGCATATTTTCTTTCTTTAGCCAATGGGGAAATATGCACTTTAAAAAAAATACGCATAGAAATGTATCTATTCTCCATTCAAACACACTAAAAAACAGGTCATAAATGGAAATAAAATCAAATGAGCTTTGAGGGTGTTTTGGGAAAATTTCACTGAGCTTGAACATTGTTGGTTCCCCCACTCCTCTTTAATGGTAGCTCAAACTAGTTCTGTTCGGAGCCCAGCAATGTGGACTCAGTTGCTCCAGAGTCTTTGGCACCTAATGCCTGAGATCCTTTTTTTAAACTGGAGATGCTAGGAATACAACCTGGCGCCTTCTGCATGCAAGTTCTGTGCATCCATTGGACAGTGGTCCCTCCAACCTAACCCTTCCAACTGATGCTGAGATTATTTGAAAGTATTCCTTGACTGCAGATTTCTGAGGGGAAGGAAGCAGGAGGTCTCTGGGGCAGGAGAGGCAGCAGAAAGCAATAACATGTTAAATCCTTGTAATTCTTGTTTTTGCTCAAAAATTGTGAAGAGCACAATCTAAATATTCTCAGAGCATAGAAATACTTGGTTCTGGCCCTGACCTACTACCATGTTTGTGTCTGTTTTCACAGCAGCTAAACCCAAATCAGTCAACAGGGCTGACTATGGAAACATATGAGACTTACATATAAATGAAAGCTAATTAAGGTCACATTATATAACATTGCATTCACATTTCAGGGGTATCTCATGAAAGGGAAGAAAAAGGTGACCAAGATGATCAAAGGGCTGGAAAAGTTGCAATGTTTGTGACTTTCTAGCTTAGGAAAAAAAGGCAAGGGGACAATATGACAGAGGAGTATAAAATTATGTGCAGGGTAGATAAAACATATAAGGAAGCAATTTCCTCCTCCTCTCGTAATACTGGAACCCACGATCATGTCATAAAGCTGGGTGGTAGGAAATTCAGGATAGGAAAAGGTATGTACTTCCTCATAAAGTACATAATTAACGTATGGACTTCATTATCACAAGAGGTAGTGATGGCCACTAACTTGAATGGCTTTAAAAGGAGATTAGGGATTTATAGAGGATAAGTCTATCAATGGTTTCTAGTATATTACCTTCAGCATTTATTTATTATTAAACTTATATTCTGCTGTAAGTGGGTTACAATAGTATCAGAGCCAGTAAGATACAGGGAGGACTTGGATCATCAGTTGCTGGGGGCATATGAGCAGGAGGATGGTACTTGTGGACTTCCCAAAGGCATGCATGTATGAGCAGTATTTGATGTTCAGTAAACTTCACCTTGTTGCTTTTCTCTCCTTGATTTGTGCTCACAATTGCAATAATTGGTCTTTTTTGAAGAATGGGAAGATGGTGCAAACCAAAGGGGCATCAAGTGTGAAAATTGTGCAAGCAATTCCCAATTTTGTCCGAATTTTTCCCAGAGACTAAAGTGTGGGTGATTTAAACTGTGTATATGCTGAGAAAGTTACACATGTTTCAAGTAACCATTCTGGGGACATGAAGACAAGTTCAGGAATTTGCAAACATTTTTGGAGGAAATGTGCTCCCATTCATGTATCATTTGGGATTGAGAGCAAGACATTTTTGGTGTTTAACTGAATTAAGATTTTTATATATCCTTAGTTGGTCACTGTGGAAATAGAATAACAGCATTTTTAATAACAATGTAGACTGTCTTTTCTATTTGAGTTGTGGACTTGCTTCTGATAACTCCTTTGTGCATGTTTCTGATTTTACAGAATTGTAGGTTTTCTGGACACGTGGCCTGAACTGGAAACTTGGTTTTCTGAGCAGCAAAAAATACTAATAAAAGTTAATGCAGAGATGGAAAAAGATCTTTTGTGTCAAAGAATGAAAGAGATTTTAATGGAAGAAATCATTAAAGCCCAAAATAAAAGTAGGTGGTAGTATTCAGCTGTTTCAGGAACATTTACAATGAAACAATTTCAGCAATTTAGCTGAAATTGTTCAAAGAATAGGGAGAAATATGACTAATTGCCAATATATGACCATTTTCTTCTAGTATTTCTTTACCTCCCAAAAGTTTTTGAATATAGTAGGTCATAATTTCATCTAAGGCATGGCCAGATAATGTCCAGAACCTGATTTCATTGTCAGCTCAAGTGGAAAAGTTTTAGAAATTACTTCTGTTATTTCTATGCAGCAAAAATATGGTTTATAATAGGGTTATAAAAAAAGGGTTTATAGCAGGGGTGGGCAATTAATTTTCCTATGGGGCCACATGAGAAACTTTGACAGTTGTTAAGGGCTGGACCAATACACTTACAGCTCTGCTCAATATATCTATAAAAACAGTAAATGAAACATTACAATGATACAATGAAAATGTGAAGCACAGAACAACACTATTTAATGAATATTCACAAAAACGTTAACATTAACATTACATGAAAAGCAATAAATTCAATTCAATTTAGCAGATCCTTCAAAATAAAAGCAGTGCAGTTGTATTGCTTGCATCTATATTACGATGATATATATTTGCATTGACTTTTAATTTGCCAGTGACCTCATGCGGGCCAGTCAAGGTCAGCCATCGGGCCGGATGTGGCCCGTGGGCCATACAATGCCCCGGTCTGGTTTATAGGATGTTTTCCAGCTACTCTTGAGCGAGATAATATGGCTAAGTAACTGTTTTAGCCAGGATGATAGAAGAACCAATTTTGTTGCTTGGCTTAGTGTTACCTTCCTGTACAGAGTCAGGAAATCTGTTTTGAAAGATGGTGTTTGAGCTTTAGGCATGGCCTTTTCAATGTGCAGCAGTGCCAAGTACAGCTTTCATTCTCTTGAGATGCAGCATGCAACTAATTATTAAATTTTCTTGTGCAGAGGGATTACTTGTAGGGAATGTGACATATACAGTGGAGAGGCCTATCCCTCCCCTGACACGAGCATGCAAACATACCCAATCCTCCTGCTCAGGACAAGTCTTTAGTTCTGCCATTTATGCACTCATTTTACCCATGCATGTTTTTCTTTTTCTTGCTCTCTAACATTTATAATCCTACCAGCTGCCCACAAGTGTCTATTTTACCTCTAAAAGGAAAAAAAAGTACAAAGTGCAAATCTGCTTATGCATTTTTTGAGAATTTTACTCTGTTTTATGCATTCTGGTTATTGCATGTGCTGTCTTGAGGAATGATTTTCAGGTTGCCTACTAGCAGTATGGTAAAGAGTGATAGAAGGGACAGAATTGTATGTTTTGCTACTTTTTATGATGAAGGAGAAGAAAAGGAAAAACAAGAAGCTATGATACTGGAACAGATGATTGTCTCTTTGCCACAAGAAGAGGCACCTGCTGTGAAGTTGGAAAAGCTGGAGGAACTGCCTCCTTCTTCCTCTGTAGAACTACAGGAGCTACCTCTGCCTGCAGTGGATGTCAAAGCGTCTAAAGGTTAGCAAAGCATAAATACAATACAAATCCAGTTGTGGCTTGAAGCTTATTTTTCCACAATCATTTTTTGTAGAAGCTACAGAAACAAATGTGCAGACAGATACACAAGAGAGAATTTTTGCTATTCTTATCCTGAAAACTCCTCATCTTGTTTCCCTGATGAGGAACCTTTTTCATTTCAAATGTCAGTTGTGGTGAAATCCAGGAGCAACCTAGGGAAGAGCATATTCCCCTCTGAGAAATTTAGAACTCCTACTGAAATGCTTTAAGCTGTCAGTGAAATTTCATCTGCTGCAAAATGTGAGGATAATTTGCAGGGTTCTCCCTGGGCAAAACACTCTGAGGCTAAGCTTCAAAATTAGCTTCAAGTTTTGTGACAGATGACATTTTGGTGACATCTCAACTGAAAAAACATGGGTTTTTTATTTTTACTTTTATTAACTCTGTAGACCTTAACTCTGTAGACTGCAAGACTATCATTTGTAGCACATTTGCAAAAATTGTACAAAGGGTTCTAATGTTCTTTAAAGGGATTGCTTCTTATAAGTAAACAAACAATAAAAGGGCAATGGAATTAAGTACAACAAAAAGGGACAAGTGTTAAATACAACAAATGATATGGGTGCAAACCCTAAGTAATTAAAGGTGCAATTCTGTGGGGATGCCCATAAGGTCCCAAACCTTGTGAGGCTTGTGGTTATCTGCATTTTTACTAGATGGTAGTTTTTGGTCCCCAAGCATTGGCACTTCAAGGTGGGGAGGAGTTTGCCTACTGGAAATGTTGCTGTTCCAGTTTCCTCCCCTCCTTGTTCCCTGAAACACCCCATTTTATCCCTCAAGTTGCTTTCCCAATCTTGGAGAGCAGCCAGGGACGTTCTTTACATGTCAGCTGTGAGGGGAGAGTGTGTGGGGGGACGGGGGTCACCCCTATTCCCAGTTCTGAGGGCAGGGTCTGTCTCCAGTGCCGATTTGGGAATCTGAAATATCCTGTGGCCCCTCAGGTGCTATCTAGGGATCTTAGGATTGCTCTCTAAGCTAACCTGAAAAACAACTTGTTGACAAATAAGTAACTATTGGGCTAAATTCAAGGAATTGGGCTAAATTCAAGGAAACAACTTTCCTTGTCATAGTCAAATGAGATCCCTCCAGAGCCCTGTGCTGGATGACAGAGATGCTTACTAACAATTGGGAGTATAATTGCTGATGCCAGATTATAAAACTGGTTGTGGTGGTGATGGTAGTTGTGGAAAAATGTGCTGGGGATGGACATTTTTGTGGCAAAATGTCGAATGCATAGAATCATAGAGTTGTGAAGGTAAATTGAGGCCATCCAACCCACACCCTCTACTCTGGCAGATATCCTTTTGGCGCCATTGTATACGGAGTCACTTCTTGAACACATCCAGTTCTGAAGTCGAAGATTAGTTCTATGCCATATCTGCATGGGCTGAAACCATGATTAGTGTTAACCTTGTTTTTTGAGCTTTGTACTCTGGTTTCAAGGTGTGGTTATACAACAGGAATCCTACACAGTGCTAACCATGCTGATAATGGAAACAGAAGTAGTTTACCAAATGTAATGCATGAAGGTTGTGGGGGACTGTCATGAGCAAGGAAAAGTCACGTGTGTGTACAGATTTAGGCCATAATGCTATCCATCTAGGACATCAGTTTGGGGAAGCCTGGTTTAACTAATACATAGTGAATTCCTGCACAGAGTCACCTTCCACAGAAATACACCCTAAAGGGAAAAAAGGAAAGAAAGATGAAGCAGCCAAAGGAAAAGAAGCAGGAAGTAAGCCAGGTAAAATATAATCTTATTTTAAATTAAGCACTCTTTAATAAAGGAGTTTAATTCTCCAATATGTAGGCATATCAGACTCCAATAGAAGAATGCCTTGGCAACACTGGCAGAATGACTGGTGTGTATCTGCGTTTAGTGTGGGTTATCATTAAGCATGGGTGTAACACTCAACCACCCCAGAGTCCCCAGTTCCCAGCAGCTCCCTGAGCATGTATCTTTGCTCAGAACCCCTGAACCCCAAATCCCAGGACCAGGCACTGGATTCAGCACACAACAGCCCAAACATTTGGGAAAACTAGTTTATTAAAAAAACTGTTAACAAAAGGGGTGGAGAATCTAGGAACTCTACAGCACACAACACAAAGAAGGGAGAGGAAAGGGGAATTGGAGAGCAGCACAATACAGAATTACTTACAATCCACAATCCCCCTGAGCCCCAGGACCATTTGTCCACCTTGGCCAAAAAACAACATAGCTAGCTATTCCCAACACTAATACAGAATGTGATAGCTAATGTAACCTTCTTTCCAGCAAGACAGCACAGCATCCTCTGCCAGAGCCTCTAGCAGCAATAGAGATCCTCTTCAGAAAGCGGAACTCCAAGCTGTCTGAGCTCCCATCCTTTATTCACCTGACATATTCCAGGTGAAAGGCATTTGCCCTATAGCCCCAAATCTCCTGCTTTCTTAGGGAGTGTGAAATTCCTTGTCCTTGGATGTTTTACAATACCATATGTTTTCCCATTGCGAGCTGTATCTGGCCCTCCTGCAGCCTTGGAGCTTAGCTCTCCCTGAATCACCACCTGGTCTGGGCAGCCCTTTGTCTAAGCTGTGTTAACAAATCCTGGTTTTTTAACCACAAACCAACCCATGAGGAGAACTATGGTTGGTTGTTGGCTTGTGAACTGTGATTTGTTAGCATGGTTGAGTTCAGATCACACAATAGCTCAGACTTCAACAACAACTCATGGTTCAAAGACAGCTTTCACTCAGCCCTTGAGTGTGAGTTAGAGTTGTTTGAACCCAGTCACTGTGTTGGCAAACACCACCCAGGAACAGGGAGTCTTATGAGCAAGGTGTAAGATTTTGGAAGGGGCGCTTGAGAAATCTTGGTAGAGTCCACCACATCAAACATGTGACATAATTAAGGCAAATAGCAATTTCATAAATGTTTTTTCCTTAAAAGTGAAAGTGGTGAGTGATGATCTGGGTTGAAACTGCAATCCCAGTCTGGCTCCCCCTTCCCCACTGCACACATTTGCCTCCAGCAGTACAAATGCATGTTTTTCTTCCAGGGAAGGGGAAATCCAGATCAGGATCCCAGTAGGGGCAAAGTCTTAAAACCCCCCTTCCCACTGCCTGGGTTCTTTTCCACTTCCTTACCTCAGTTGCTCTTTACTTGAAACCATCCACATGAATGATGTCATGTCTAGGTTGGTCCTGAAACTTTCTACCCAATCTGCCATCTTTTTCTGTGCAAGTACTTAGGAGTTTAAACTAGCATAGTACTTCAATGGAGCATTCCTATCCCAGTGCTATGGTTTAATGGTGTTATTGCAGCACAGTTGTTTTCATGGGAGAAGGGAAAGTCAGTACTTTTAAAATAAAATATCTCATAGCAAGTCCATTAAAATAAAAATGGGATACTTTATGAAAGACACTTTCTTGATGAAAATATAATGGAATGAAAATGTTTCCCATCTGTCAAAAAGTTCAGAGAAAACAACCAATGTTTAAAGGTAAAGGTTAAAGGTTTCCCCTTGACATTAAGTCCAGTCATGCCTGGCTATAGGGGGCGGTGCTCATCTCCGTTTCCTAGCTGAGGGAGCCAGCGTTTGTCTGCAGACAGTCTCCATGGTCATGTGGCCGGCATGACTAAACACCGAAGTGCATGGAACGCTGTTACCTGCCCACTGAAGTGGTACCTTTTCATCTACTTGCAATTGCATGCTTTCAAACTGCAAGGTTGGCAGGAGCTGGGACAGAGCAACAGGAGCTCATCCCATTGTGCAGATTCGAACCGGTGACCTTTCGATCAACCAGCCCAGCAGCACAGTGGTTTAAATCACTACGCCACCTGCAGTCAACCAATGTTTATTCCTAGGTAAAATACTTTTCCAAAACTTATACTAATGATGGATTCATATTTAAGGTACTCCACGAGCAAAAGAAAAGGGAAAATCTGGGACCCCTTCTCCTGAGATTATAGTGGCTCCTGCTCCTGTAGAACCACCTCCAGTTAAACCAGGATCAAGTGAATGGGTTTATGTTGATGAACCACTTCCCCAGGTATGGTAGTCCAAAGTCTAATAAAGTCAAGTATCCCCTTTCTTGCTCCCTTTCCCCCAACATTTTAGTTGGGCAGCCTAAGTTGTAGATGCTTAAAATCTGTGTCTTCTAAAAACAAAACAGGAAGTGCCTGAATTTTTAGTCCCTTATTGGGAAACAGTGGAAAAAACTTATGTGAATAACATCAAAGCTACACTTCGGTGCCTTAGAGCTGAACAGCATGTGATCATTCATTACCTGTCACACATAAGGTAAGTGAATGGGATATTTGGACTCAAGAACCCCTGGTGAGAATCCTTCCACCATCTTCCGTTCAGTGAAACATGGGTGCCTTGTCATTTACTTGTCCACAGAAACCATTTCAAGGAATACTTGAAACGCCCAGACCACAAGCAAGAATTTGTGGCTCAGTGGCAAGCTGATTATAATGCAGTGGCCGATGACCTCTGGGATGATGATGAAACAAAAGAAGAAATGCACCAAAGAGTAACAGTGAGTGATGGCTAAAGTAGTGGATGTATTACTGAGCTTGCGTTCTGCTCGGTTCCCTTCCCTAAAATGAATGGGGTGGAGGGGGAATGGTAACCATAGGCTGCAGTTGCCTAGCAACTGTAAAGTAAACCTGTTAAAACCTTTTCTGTCTCAGTTGGTGCCTGGGAAAGATGCCTTGCCTTAGGACTGCAAATAGGAAGAGGGAATAGTTGAGCCAGGGGTACGTAACATGGTGCCCATTCTGCAACCTGGACCTTTCCCTAGTAAAGTCTCCTCCTCCTCCTCCTTAGTTAATACATTTTCTTACTGGTACCTACATTTGCTGTGCAATAGGTTTTTGCTGTGCCAAAAAATGAAGGCTCAGGAAGTTTAGTGGGTTGAAGAGTTTAGCTGAACAAAATTATTACCCATCCCTGTCTGGTAAGACATCCTTGCTGCTGCAAAAGCTGGAGTGCTTTTTTAAATGGAAACCAGGAACTCTGCCTTGTCTCTCCCTTGACATTCCACAGTTGCATCCCAGGGGTGGAGCATCTCTGGGTTCTTTCGTGACTCCTACTCTTAGCAGAACTGACTGTTTCATTTGCTGATAGAGTCTCCCCAAATCTACCAATGCCTCCGAACAAGAATCTAGCCTAAAATAAAGAAGAAAGAGAACAAAGACTGAAATCCAGCATGCAGTGTGGCATACCCAAGCCTTATCTCTGAAGGCATACAGCTAATGTGGCTGCTGACCACAACACCTGCTTTAGTTGCTGGTGATGGGAAATTTATGGTCTCCTCTCCTCTAGCAGTTTGGTGAGTCAGGTGATAGAGCAATGGAAAAGTGAGTGACCTGAAACCAGCAAAACCTGCAGCTTTGTTTGGTTGTGGATACTCTTTTCCATATTGTGGTGAAAGGTGCCTGTTTTTCTAAAATGTTGTCTTCTCAGTTGGTCATAAAACATGAGATGAGAGCAGTTAAGATAGGTCACATCCATCAGTAACTGAATAGGAAAATGAAATGTACAAATGCATTCAGATGTCGAAACCTGCAGGCTGTGTTCAAATAAAAGAAAGGCGACAACATATGATAATAACAGTCCAAATGGATCTACTTCTATTGCTTCTTTGGAAAGTAAAGCACCTTCACCTTCTGAGCTAAGACACATTAACTGTCATAACAACAATCTAGTCTACATGTCACAATAACAAAAGATTTTTAAAAATATTATTGGCTATTGGGAACAATAACCCATCCCAGTGCATGCTACACTATCTTTCCATTGTGAGTAGGAATAACTAAATAGCAAGGGATACTTGATCCTGGGTTGCTTGCCATGTTGGCAAACCAGGAATGCTGCCTTGCCTCTGCCCTGCCTGGACAAACCACCATTTGAACCCAAGAATGGACTGTCTCTGGATTGTTAAGTCACTCCAGCCCTCAGCAGGAGTGATTGAGCAGCAAAAACTCTCATACCCACTAGTTCTGGGTTATTTGCAGGCTGATCTCTGGACAAATGGCTCAGAAGCTGGTGACAGTCCCCAAGTGCACACTGTTTTAACTGTAGGCTAGTTAAAGCCAATAGCAAGGATGGCCATCTATTTCTGTTTCCATTTTGAATGTTTTCTGGTGATGGCAGATAGCTTTGTAAGAGGCAGCCAGAGAATTCCTCCCATAAGGTTCAGCTCATGCAGTGGTCTTTAGGTTTGCCGAATCCCTTGTCACTCTGTAGCATCCGATGCATCCATGTGATAGTATGGACAGCTGTTTGTCAGAGGGGACTCCCCTCTAGCTCTATTCTGGCCTTATTCTATTCATGTTTCTGGCAAGGAGAAGTTGGTGGGGCTGTCTCTGCTCCTTGCACACCTTCCTAGTGGGAAAGGTTGGGAGAATGAATGAGCAACAGCACCAACTCCAACCATCGCTCCCTGTGTCAGCTGTGTCCAAACCAGCAGACGCTACAGAGACTCAAACAATTCAGTACGTACTGGGCCTTTTCCACAGGTTTGTACATGAACTAATAAATATTAGAAAGAAACTGAATTGTGATTTATATTTCAAGATATTTTTATTGTGCTGAAGAGGTGTTTTCCATGTTTTGATGCTGTTGCTTTCACATTTTTAGGACCTAAGAGATCGTCTGTGGGACATCTGCGAAAACAGGAGGGATGAAGCTGAGCAAGAACGTTGTGACATCATGAGTGATGGCTGGTTGCCAGACAGGATGGGGCTTATGATGAACCATATTTTTTCACTTATGCAGGTCTAGAACATTCCTTGCTTTGAAGGAATTGGTGGTCCAGATGGTTGGGCTGCTATTTGCACTGAAATGTATTATGAAGCCTTGACTGGAGCCAGCAGCACCTGGGCAATTAACAAAATTTCTTTTGCCAATTCTCTGCTTTGCAGATTGGCAAGATTTGTCTCTCTATGGTATTTGCTGCTTATAGCCTCATTATGCTGTTGGACTGTGATCCAAAGATAGTTGCAGTCAGCAGTGTTCATGCAGATTGCAATTCTTCCTGGGGATGAGCCTTCCAATGTGCATTGCCATGTGGATGGAAATGTATGCCACACCTTAGAAAGCTCCAAGGGAGCAGCTTGCTCTAACAAAGGTTTGAAGTGAACTGAGCCCTTATGAATCCTTCTATCCAATCTACCTCTTCTGAGCTCCATCCCGTCCTTCCTTTAAGGGTCAGCTCTAAGCATGAATACATGTGCATCTCCTTCATTCTATAGCCTCCATTCAGACATGCTCCCTGTGCTGTTGGGCAAGCACAGTGGAGTGGGAAGTCCTTACCTTGCAGGTAGATTTTGCTTGGGGGAACTGTCCACAAAGATTCTGATCTGCAACCCTCTGACCAGTCCTAGATACAGACAGCTCATACTTCTTCAACTCTGAATTCAGAGCTGAGGCCATGACACTAGTTGCGATGACTCAAATGCATAATAGGTTCTGAATCTGGAGCTCAAGAAGGACAGCTAGTAGGGATTAAACTAGGGATGTATGAATCAGCAAACCTTAACCTTGCCAAAGTTCTCCAAATTCTATCTCAAAGCTCATTCCAACTTGAGTCCAGATCAGATTGTGACCTTTGTTTTTCTTCTTTTCTCATGAAAAATCTATGCATATTTTTGTATATTTTTCAATTGTACACATCAGTTGTCCACAGTTTTGAAAGATATGCAGGCTTCTCCTATTGATTAAAACACAAATGTGTGCATCATTCAAATGTGTACATGCTGGCAAACAATATTTTTAGCTCACAAATCTCATTGAAGCAATTTGACCACAGCCTATGTCTAAATCAATGTTTGCTTTGGAAGGCATGAACTAGTTCAGTTCTGATTTAAAAAAAAGGATTGAACCAAATATCCCATACATTACTAGATTGAATTTGTTCTGTTCATCATGTTAAACAACAGTAAGCTAGAACTGGTCATGAGGTAAGGCCTCTTCCTTGGAGAAATTTCTAGGTCAAGCTTACTTTCTGAATTAAGAAAAGCGGGAATCTGCCTTTATCAGGGGTTAAGGCTTAACATGTGGCCAGATCATTCCTGTTGCTTTGCCTTGCTCTACCCTTCCTCTACCTGAGTTGGACTCTACCTTCATTTGTTATGTCTTTCATTTGCTTTGCCTCATCTTGTCCAACCTTACCTTAATTCTAGGATCTCTCCATCTGACTTGGCAGATATCATGTCTGGTGTTGATCTAAAGGGCATCAGGCCTAACTCTTTGACCTGGTGCTTGTTCTACACCAGAGGTGGGCATCTTGTGGCCCACCAGATGGTTTGGTCCACAACTTATCCCCCAACTTTGGCTAAGACTGATGGGAATCATAGGCCAAAAAATCTGGAATGCAAGTTGCTTGCCCCTTGTCTACACAATTGGGTTTTTACACTCAGGTGGTTTGAGGGTGTATATTTTATCCTGTGTTTTATCCTTTTGAGACTGTGGTTTTCTCAATTTTCCCATGAGTATACAATACTTTTTTCTTTTTCAGTTATATATTTAGAGGCTTCTGTTCTAATAATAAATCAGAAGCATGACAGGTGCATAATGTTTCTTGTCTGCAAGGTTTAGCTCTTTTGAACTTAGCAAAATTCACTGTGCTTTTAAGTGCACAGTGCATTTAAGAGTATATTAGACTGAAGTTAAGAGGTTTGAATATCTGAGACGGAGGGATTAGGCATTAAAAAAAGACCTACAACTCCCACATACCTAGCTGGGGAATGGTGGGATTTTCAGGTCTTTTTATGTCTAAACTTGCACCTTTAGAGCCAAAACAGGGCCACTACGGGGCCATTGTTCTTATATCATTCGGATTGCAAATAAAGCTGATGGTCTTACTTTAATTGTAAAAGAAGCAAATGGGAGCGGAGTGCTGAACATCTCCCCACTGCTTTACCTTTGCACAGCCAGTTACTTTGAGCACTTCTCCATTCTCCACTCTTGATACTGGAAAGGAGCAAAGAATGGACTGCAGCCAGACTGAGGGGAGGTAAAGCACAGGAGGAGGAGGACTGGCTCAAAACACCTCCACCTGCATTCTGTTTTCACAGGAGGATCCTCTAACTCCTGCTTGCTGGGCAGGCATGTGATAAGAAACATGTCCCTCCAAGTATCACCTTGAATTGAGTCCTTTGCGACTGTCTGCTCCTTAATCATGATTAAAAATTGGGTGCAATCCATGGGATTGCATGCCTTACTCCAGGCCTCCTCTTACACTCAGATTCTCCTCTCCAACCTGCTAAGTTTGACTGTGACTAGTGCTTGGACTAACCTTAATGTAGGATTGGGCTCCCCAGTTCTGCAGAGGACCCTCAAAAGGATATAGGAATAGATTCTGATTTAGGTTAAACAAGGGGAAGGAGAAAGTGAGACTGAAGAATAGAAATAAGTGAGGAGAGCAGTGGAGAAAATCAACCTGCTTTTGAAACTATGAGAAATCAGAGTATGTCTCAAGGAACAGGAGTGGGATAGATCCAAGAGTGAGAGGTCACTGAAGGAGGGAAGGCCAATGGCATTTTGTGCAGGTGGTTCTGAGAAAGCAGGAGCTGCTTTGAAGGTTTGGTTGCTGGAGTCGCAAGCTGGATTTTCCTCCCTTTGCACATTCAAGGCCACAGACCATTCCTTTGCAAAAGTTCTTGATGCACCACAGTATATCCAATAAACTCAGTCACCACAGAGTGAATCTGAGTGTGCAGAGGGCAATCTGTTGAACCCAAACTAGCAACTACTTCTGGGAATTCTCCTTTTGAGTATATCTGGGCCCTATCCTTCTGGGAGGGTCCTTTTTGAAGCGACCACACCTTTTCTCTGCATGCTCGTTCTCTACTTGGCTAGCCTTCCTCTCCCAACACCATGTCATGGGGTCAAGAGTCATACCAGCTTCATCTGGCTCTGAGAATTCATCTCTTAGGCCCCTTCCCACCAGTTGTACATCTTGGTTGTTCCTACAGCTTGCCTTGGCATCTGGAGAGAGTGGCCCTGAAATAACCTCTTCTGTTTCTCCTGTCTCAAACTCTGAAGCCTCAGATTCCCAAGCCTCCTCTTCCTCCTCTGATGAGTCCAGATCGGTGTGACTTGAATAAGTGGCAAGAACAACTTCTCAACACTTGGGGGGAATCTGATGGCATTAATGAGTTGATTCTGTAGAAAGCCAGCACACCATATTTCTTTTGCTATAGATTTCTTTAAAATGAAAACTTTGTAACTTAAAGCCCACTTTTGCCTTCTTTCAATTCGGCTTAATAAAAGCCTGCTAATTAGAGCAATTATTTTGCTTAATGGGGAAGGAAAGAGAGTGGAGTGACCTTGGCAATGGATACTAATGTGGTCTCTTTCCCAGTCAGAATGAGATCAATAATGAGCACTGCCTAGCAGTAACCACGGTCAGTTTATTTATTTCATATGACATAGTTTGCATATGACATAGTGGAATATGGCACCATTGCATAAAAATTTACAAAGCAATATAGTAAAATGCAAACAATAAGACAATTAACTTAAAAACATGCAATATGGAAATGGGTAAGATTTTAGATAAAATTAAACTATGTATGAGCAGTTACTAAACTGGTTAGGCCTTTGGCTGGATATCTAGATCATTTAACCAATGGACAGCAGTGCCCTTGAGATGATGTAGTTCTTGCAGGGTGCCAGGAAACCTTCTAAGGGGGCATTCCGTTGCAATGTGATAAAGCTTTCGCAGGACACTCCCACAGTCAGAACTAGGATTATCAACCAGCCCCCACTTATGTTTCCCTTATTGGCACCTGCCATGATTGGTTCAGATCTGGTTAAGCGCTGTCCAGTTCTTCCTTGGGAGATAGAAGCCATAAGGGCATTGTGCTGGATCAAACACTAAGTTAAATGGACCATGGTCAATGTCAGTGTACAATCTACTATACTGCAGGCCAGTGATGGGGCCAGAGGGAGAACCACTGTGAGAGGTGGCAAGGAGAACAGAGTCCTGTGGCTGCAAGTCTGTACATTTCTAGTATAGTTAAAGGTATTATGAAGTCATTTTTGCTTGATGTTGAAGATGACAGTAGGATTCTTTGAGTCAAACTAGAGGTTCACCATTTGTTGCTGGGAGCAGTAGTCCAATAGCTCCAACTTCATTTCTACTCCATAACATCCCCTAGTATAAAGCACATCATGGAATGGCATCCCATCATACCATTTTGATTTGCATACTGTGTGCAAGGAATCGGGAGGGGGCGAGGTCGTGTCTCATTTGAACTTTAAGCATGCTGAATCCTAAAAACATATAAAGCTATGTAAATGCAGCTTTTCTAATAACTGCCCAGCCAATTGCTGGGGGAGGGGTTGTTTTGGGTTTTTTTTTTTGTTTTCAGAATCACTTTCTGTATCATTCATGGAGAACAAGGTGTCAGAAAATAATTAATTAACATGGTTTTCCCTATGTACCACACAGAATGAAATGGATCGTTTCCAAGATACAAAGAGGCTTCTGCATGACTATTATAGAGGAATGGAAGGCAAAATTCCAACAGAGACCAGCACTGAGTTTACCAGGATACCCTTGATTGAACTAGTTGAAAGAGAACAGGCTGTGGAAGAGGGCAAAACTAAAATGTACAATCAAAGCTGTAATAATTACTGAATACAAGTGTGTGTGTGTCTGTGTGATTAGGAGGCATACAGGAATGGGATTAACAGTAGAATGTATACTTTGCCCAGGATTGCTCATCTTCAGTTTAAAAATGTCTCAAGTGGTTGGATGATATAAAAGATCCCTGTTTGAGAATTTGCAGTCATTGTGAGTCAAAGAGAAGGTACTGGGCTAGATAGACATAGCTAGATAGTCTCCCTCTCTCCCTCCCTCCCTCACACACACATTTTTATGTGTTTCTCTAACTGGAAACAATATATTCCATGTCACTGGGAACCTGCAATTATTCATGATGGGTGCAGGATGCATGCATTGTATACCTCCTGCCGCCAACCCTTGTGAATATCCACGCACTCATGTCCCACAGCTTGCATGCAAGCACATGCACACACACATACAAGATTCATACATGCTGCAGGCACACACACACTAATGCCTAGTGGAGCAGATGGGGTAGAGAAAGGGAATCTCCCCTTACTTCTTTTGCCGTCCCTTTCTCATCGGTGGACCACATCTGTTCCCCTTCTTTTCCCCTGCTGTTCCATTGGAGGCTGTGCTGTCAGGCTGCCACTGCATCCTTGGAGCTTTTGGAGCAAAATTACTGTCCAGCTTAAAGCACTCTTGCTTGCAAGCTCCTTAGGACTGGTGGGCAGAAGGACACAGCAGTAGTTTCATATCTCTCTTTCAGTCATTCTACTGGAAATGTGGGAAAAACAGAGTAGGTCTTGCATATTCTCCCATTTCTGACTAATAGTAATTTGAGGGAGCGGGAATATCATTTATATTGGGATTGGGAGTGCAATATGGACTGTAATGTTAAACCCCTTCCACCTTATGGCTGTTACCCAGATCTTAAACCTTTCCCCTGTGCCAGTCTGGGCTCTTCTCCAAGGATGCCTGGTACATTATGTAACAAAAAGGGAGCCTTTTGGATTGATGTAACACCCTCCCCATGACGGTGCAACTGGCTCCAACATTATTTTATTTTCAGCATAAAGTTTTCATTTTTTAATTTTATTTATGCTTTTATAGACTATCACAATAGCCACATGGCTCTCTGGACAGTTAAGCAATTAAAACCATCAACAAAACATTAAAAAAAACCCAGCCTATTAACCAATTCAATAATTGGTTCAAGTTGAAACTTTGTGTCTTGCCCAGGCATTTTAAATTGGTTTAGAGAAATAAGCAGTGTTTGTTTTATGCTTATTTTATGTGTTTTTGTTTTGTTTGCTTTCTTGTGGCTTTATTGGGATTTTAAATTACACTTTGTAATATGCCTTGGTTCCATAAGATGAAGGGTGGCATATATACATTTTGGGGCACTTTCAATACATGCTTAGACACAAAAAGTCCCAAGGCGTGTTTGGACAGGAATGCTGGATGGGGAGGTATAAGACATTTTTCTGTCGAAATGTGCATAGGATTGTGCACCAAGGCTTTTGAAAATTGTGTGACAGCTGCTTCTTGCTAACCATTGGATGGATGGATGGATGGATGGATGGATGACCCTCTAAGGCTGTTGTTAGCAACACATAAAAAAGGATGCTTGGAGATACATGCACGTATCGCCAACCACACATTTAATCTGACCCCTGGTTTCTTAGGAGAGTTTCTATTTTGTGTTGTTCTCCCTTTATTTCTAAAATTTGAATCTTGCCCCTTTCTCCTCAGGCTAGAGGAACCGCTGTTCCATGGGCCAAATCTGGCCATCCTGGAGTCCCAAACCAGCCCTTGGGTTTCCTGGATGACTCTTCCCTGTCCCCATCCCCTTTCCTCCAACCACTGTTTGTTGGTTGGTTTCCTGGCTTTTGTGCAGCTTTGTCTTCTTTCTAAAAGGTTGAATGGCCTCTAAGCCTCTTACTGCCAGCCTCTTACTGCCAGGCACTGACTGAGAACTTTAAGCTAAAATAGGCTGATTTTTAAAATTTTTGGCTCTGCTCCCTGCCCCTTCAGCTCTACACAGCATGGGAAATTCAGCCTGTAAGAGTTTGTCTGGAATTGAATTTATTCCTCAGGCTGAAAGAAGTTCACCATCCCTGTCCTGAAATTTAATTCACAGCCTGACCAGGGTGTAAGTTTTACAAGTGGTAGCTGCAGGAAGAAAGCAAATAATCCCTTTGGCTTCCTACCCCTGGTGCAGGTAGGATTTTCAGTGTAAACTGAGGCCTGTCTGTGCAAGAAGGCACTGCTGCCCATTTGCCACAGAAATGGACTGGATAGATAATTAGGCTGTGGTTAGTCTACATGCCTTGGTTTGCACTAAAGATCCAACATGCATAGTGAGAGCATATGCAAGCTTGAGACTTAATGCACCTAAGCATGCAGGCTTTGCCTGAAATGAGCTACCGTATTTTTCTGTGTATAAGACGCTACTTTTTCTTTAAAACATTTACTTAAAAATGAAGGTGCGTCTTATGCATGGGGGGTCATGGGCACACTGGGCGGGGGGGAGACTGGCGCGTGCAGGGGGGCGGTGAGTGTGGGCGGCGAAGCAGTGGGCGGGGTGGCGGCGCACGCACGAGCGGTGAGCATGGACGGTGGGAGGCGCTGCGGGGGGGCAGCGAAGCGGCGTGCGTGCTGCAGCAGCTTGTTCACCGGAGATGGGTAGGAAAAGTGGGGGGTGTCCTATACATGGGGGTGTCTTATAGACAGAAAAATACAGTACTTATTTGCCTTCAGGCACTTCTATAATTCATAGCAGCCTTCCCTAGCCTGACAGAGAATAAGGGATACGTGAGTGGCACCAGCTTGGGCAAGCCTGATAGATGGAAACATGCACTTTGTAATGGAAATGCAAATGTAAACTCTGAGAAGTACATAAGTGAGGCTGCAGCTTCTCTCCCTCCCTCCCTCCCTCCCTCTAGAATTCCTATGATTGCTCACAGATCTCCTTCTCCGGAAGTCAACAGGGAAAAGATCAAAGCAATTCCAGTTAATGTCAAGGATGATCTGTTTTCTGAAAGTATAATATTTAATTTTGGCCCAGATGAGAAACTGATTGTAGAATCATGGCACAACATTGTAACAGCAATATCTAATATGGTAAGGAAACTCTGATTATTAAACAGTTCAGATAATTAACCTTTGTTTTTTCAAGAGTTCAGGAGCTGGGCACTGACATCCATGTTACCTTTGTCTGGGTTCTGTGATTGTGGGGGGAAATAAGTCACAGTGGCTTGTTTCTCCTGCTGCACGATTCGTCATGTTATGTAAACCTACTGAGAATGGTTTGTTGCTGTGGATAACAAAACATCCAGAACCCTACAATAGCCCATGACCTGTTTCAGTCCCCACTTCCATACCACGTTGTGCGCCTTTCCAGGACTGCCTGTAGACAGTTTGTTGCTTAAGTGAAGAATAAGATGGCACCCCCTTTCATTCCATGTAAAGAAAACCTTACTGGAGAGGCAGATGTCTCTTCAACACTGATGAGGGGACAGCATCCTCTACTTCACTTGAAGGTAGCAGGCCATCTTAGGAAGGGCAGAGCAGGGGGCACAGCTCAGAAGTCTTTCTTTCTGCCTAAGGCAACTGCTTCTTCTGCCTAATGGTTGGGCCAGCCCTAAGAACACATAATTAGGAGCAGCCTTGTTGGACTGGACAAAGGATGCATTTAGCCCAGCATCCTACTGTTCTTCCCACCCTTAGGAGTAGCTTTGGGATGCAGGTATGGCAGTTGCAATAGAAAGTATGAAAAACCTGCTGAATAATCAGAACTCAGCTCAGAGGTCTCTGACTCTCACTCCATGTAAAGTGATAAGTGTTTATGACATAAGTATCCTGCTTTTAACATGTTGGTTATTGATGAAACGCAACATTATTCCTCTCTGACTGTTAGTTTAAAATGCTCCCAGTGTGTCTACTGAAATAGCGTCTGTTTAAATTTAAGGTGTCTACTGAAATACAGTCAAAAGAAGCAGAGGAAGAAAGGGAAAGGCTTCAGCAAGAAATGAAGGAAAAAGAGCGGCTAAAATCTTCCCAGACCATTGCTGGCAAAGGTGGAAAAGAAGGGAAAGGGAAAGGTGGAAAAGGAGGAAAGGAAGCAAAAGGTGGAAAGGAAGGGAAAGGTGGAAAAGAAGCTAAAGGAAAGGAAGGCAAGGATTCCAAAAAAGGAAAAAAGAAAGGTAAAAATGGTGCTGAATTCTTGATTAGTTCAATTGCATTTGTTTGAGAGAGAGTGAGAAATAACTTAAAAATGACTTGCTGTACAATTGCTGGCTACTCGAGTAGCTGTGGGCCTCACAAAATATAGCTGGAAGTGAGTAAGAGAGGTGCCTGCATGGAGCCCTACATTGCTCTCCATATGCAGGAGATAAATTGCAATTGCAATCAAGGATATTTGTCAGGCTTTTCCTGTCTGTGGTCAAAAGGAAGTTTTAAATAGGAAATGCAGCACTTTTTCAAGTCAAGAAAGCAGCATGTGAATGCAATGTGACCATTCAGAGATGGATGGGACATAGTTTTGTAAACTGTAGTGAAGCCAAGCAGCTTATAAATGACAAAATACAATGTTTCTTTGTGCCACTTGACATACTTAATAACATCTGGCCAGAGTAGCAGGAACACCGAGGAAATGGAGGAAGTGCTCTGAGGAACACTTGATCTCCTTTTCATGACACTGTCCTTGAAGAAAGGCAGAACACGGAGCCATAACAATTGAATATCAGCCCTGGAGAGTCGGCACAGTGGAAAAAAGTCATCTGGCTGCTGGGCATAAGCCCAGTTGTATTGCACAGATTGTTATTAACTGCCCAGAGAGCTTCAGCCCTTGGGTGGTATAGAAATTAAATAAAACATAAGCATTTGAGATCAGCATTACTTCAGCAAACCTGGGAAGGCCATCAGATAAGAGGATGAGATGAGGCTGTAGTCTGGGGCACCTCTATATTTTCTTTGCCCTCCAATCTGTAAACAAATAATTGCTGGCCTTCTTACAAAAAATGTAACATGTCACTGTGATCAGCTTCTGTATTAGAGAACTGGAGAATGACTGGAAAATTCCCAGTGTAACACCCATTTTTTAAAAGGGATCTGAGGATCCAGAGAATTACAGGCCAAGGACTGCTTAGCTTAAAAAAGGTGAATAAGGAGAGACATGGTAAACATAGAAACAGAGCGAGTCAGGAGCCTCCCAGGCCATCTATGACCCCCAACTCTAGCTGGCTCCACTCATGACATGCCTACCATGTGCATGTCTAGCCTATCCTGGAACGCCCTCACTGATGGGGCCTGAACCACCTCCCGTGGAAGCCCATTCCATATCCTTGGGGTCCTAACTGACAGGAAGTGCTTCCTGGCATCCAAATTGAACCTTGGTTCCTTGAGCTTGGCTAAAGACATTTAAAATTATACATGGTATGGAGAAAGTGGAGATGAGACATTTTTCTGTCTCACCCATAATAGTGGAACCTGGAGTGACCCATGAAGCTGATTGGTGGGAGCTTCAGGACAGAAAAAAGGAAGAACCCTGCTCAGAAAGTAATGATGGCCACCAACTTGGATGGCTTTAAAAGGGGAGTAGACAAATCCACAAAGAAGGCTAGGATTGGGACAAACCCTAGTGAAATCCATCCCTCTAGCATTTGTCCCTCAGCCTGAGTTGAGCCCAGAGGAAGTCCACAATGCAACCAGCAACCTTCTTCTGGATCAGATGGAACAGCACAAAGGATGCTGCAATGATGCAAAAGAGGGACACTCCTTGAGCAGTGGTCATTCCTAGTGAGCCCCATGCAATCAGCCTTCTTCTGCATCAGATACAGCAGTCCGAATGGCTACTGCAAATGGTGCAGAAGAAGGACGCCGCTTGCATAGTGTGTGGAGTTTGATTCCTGGTGAGTGGCCTGCAAGCACCAGGCACACTCACCAGGAACTCAGGCCCATGGTTCCTGCCATGTGGACTAGACTCTGAGGAATCAAGTGGACTCCTCATACATCCCTAAAAAGGCCATCAATGTCTCCTGTTATCACAGGTGGCATATGTGCCTGCATCAGTTGCTGAGGAGCTTGTGCAGGAGGGGATCTTGCATCCATCCTGCTGGAAGGAACCTGTGGGTAGTTTGTTTACCACCGCATGAATGGCGGATTGGATGGACTATTGGTCTGATTCAGCATTGCTTCTCTTATGTTATTTTTTTTAAAGTAGGGGGCAGTTCAATTGCTTTTCCCCTTTTTTAAAAATAACATTTTTTAAAAAATAACATTTATTTTATTTTTTTAATTACATTTTTTAAAAGGGGGGCAAAGCAAATGAACTGTCCCCTACTTATTTTGGAGGCTTCTTTGTAGCTTTCAGGCTGATTTGGCCCTTGTAATAATAATAAGACTGAACACAGTGCTGAGTCCTTCCAGCCCCACCCACCATTAGTGGCATCAACAGTCACTGTGCCTGGGAGTTCTAAGGGCTGGGATCTGTTGAAACAATCTGCCCTGAGCCACTGAGAGGCGACTCTGAAGCATATTGGCCCTGTGGGTCCTCCCTTTACCTTCCGAGGAAGAGAGCCAGGAGCTGCAGCCACTGGACATCACTCATTGAATATCATCAAAAGGCCCTGGTATTCTGGAAACAGTGATAGGTTGCAAAATAGAATGGTGTTATCTCCCTGTAAATCTGATTTTGTTCATTGTGGACTGCCTTGAGAACCAGTATAGTTGAAAAGTTGCAAAATAAGTCTTGTTCACCAAATATCCAGATTGGTAAGTCGATTCTAGATATTAGATATTGATCTGTAAATAACTTTTTGCTGAAAATCTGGACTATATTCCCTCTCCAGCCTCAAATACCCCATGTTCCTCATTCATAATTCATGTAAGCTTTTCCCCATTGGTGTCCCTTTAATCTACTTCTGTGACAAACTGGTATGTCTGTGCTTCCAACCCTGTACAGTAGGGCAGGCAGAAAGATACCCTTTTTCTCTTTTCCTGAGTGCTAGCTATCACTACTCATACTTAAAAAAAAAAATCTGTCAATTTTGCTGTAATAGAACATACTTTGTTTTCTGTAGATATTGAACTGCTGAGCTCTATATTGGTGACCCTTATTAAGTAGCAAAACAGAAAACAATTTTATAGCAAAGACCAGCCTCAGTCATTAACAATCCAAATGTTTTTAGATTGTTCTAAAAACAACCCTTCTCCGCATTGTTGGCTAGAGAGAGCTGGCTGCATTCCACACTTATCTTAACAGTGGACTGTTAAGCAAAAAGTTAGATGCCAGCAATTGTCTTGTTGGCGTGCTGAGCCCAATTAAGCACAAGTGTCAGAGATAGAAACGCTCAAGTATTTTATGCTTGAGAATAAGTCTGATCACAGCAAAATGGCAAGTGACCCTTTTATACCCTGGATGACCAGTTTGCAATTACAGACACTTGTTCAATTGAGGTTTGTGCCACGAGCGCTGATTGGCACATTTCAATTCAGGTGATTTCTGTGCTTACGTGAGAGGCTGGGCTGCCTGAGGTTTTGTGGCTGGGGCTCTGGAGGGGGGGTTCCTCTAAATCCCTGACCATGTGGTGGCTCCCATTAGATAAGACTTGAGTATGTGACCAACCTACCCCTGCTTAATGGCAGCCAGCCAGGTACGTCCTACAATCTTCTTACTATTATCACAACCAAGAATGCTGCTGAGATGAATATTTCTGTTACACTGGTGTTACATTCATACTCACAATAATTCTGAATTTCTGTACAATCTGAAGGACACTGAGCTGAAGCCTCAGCAATGTTATGCAGAGTTCAAACAAAGGGAAACAGAAACTTATATCATAGGGAAAGTGAAATATTGTAGCTTTGACTTAGCTTCACTCCAGAATAATGCAGAAAGAATTCTACCTGTTTTGAGGTATGTGAAATGACTGAAAAATTGGCCTTCTCAATTCATTACAGCCCTAAGTGAAAAAGAGATTACATGTCAATATTAGTGACATGAAGTGTTTCTGAAGTCTTTTCTTTTTTAGTGTTGAAAAATGTAATGTTTTCAGTTACAGTCAGTTTTGTGAAATTCTCAGATTGTTAGCTGTATGTTAAGAGTAACATAAGTGTTACCTACATTCAAAGATTTACAGCTTCAGGTCTATACAAAATATCCTCTTTTTCCTACAGGTTCCTCTTCTCCCTCAGTGATTGAAGCGACACCAATACCTCTCTCCCCAGAAGAATTGAAGAAGCAAGAACTGAAATTTAGGATGAAGCAGGAATATTTTGCTGCTCTGGAGCATGAAGGCATGTACTAATTTCAGCGACATAATTTCAGAAATAGTTCAACCTTTGCAACTGAAATACTTCCAAAGCTTAAACAATTGTGGGAAATGAAAGTCCACAAATTGCTTCTAAATCTCCTATGTGCTTTAGCAATATTTGCTTACCCATGTTGCAGACATCATGCTTGACCATCTTTAGGATTAACCATGGTTTATTGCCTTAGCCCTCTTAATAAATGAAACTCAGGGAAGCCATGTAGTAGTTTGTCAAACTCAGCCCTCCCACCAAAGAAAGTCACTTGTTACTTTGCAAGCAAAAAGACTGGGGAGACAGAGAAACCAAATGATTTGCTTTGTACAGATGTTAATCTTTAACTCTGATTAACTCAAGCCATGTCAAAGCATGGTTTCATGTAATCTTTCCAGGCAATCCTTAACCATGTTTCAAATATCATGATAAAATGCTAACCGTGGTTAAGTAAAGCAAACCATGGTTACCATTTAAGTCTCCATAAGACCCTGGTTTCCAGCAACCCAGCTATGCACATCCATTGAATGAGACTGTCTGTTCCCTAGATAATGCCTAGCCTCATATATGATTATCAAAACTGTGAAAAGGTTTCTATTCTAACCCAAGTTTTTTAAACAGCGGAAGCTGCAAAATCTCGACTGGAGCTACTAAAAGTTAAAGCACTAGCCTTTGTTGAGGATCTACAATCAAAAGCAGAACTAACATTTAGGAAGATGGAAACATGGCTTGGAGAGAGATTCCTGGCTGAAATGTCCAGGTAATAGACCATTGCTTTTGATGCAGTATTATTATCTCATTACAGTAGATTACACCTGGTGTAAGTAAAAACCTGAAAAAAAAAGATCATCGGTGTAAGTAAAAACCTGAAGAAATAAATTGGGGAAAGCATTCATTTTAATTTTATCTAATCATCTCTAATAAAGAGCCACAGTTGATTGTCTTTTTAAAATGAGGCATTTATACTGTTGCTCTACTGAGGCATCTTCTATTGTTTTCTTTGCGGAAGAAAGAGCATGGCCTTTACACGTGATTCACCCCCCCCCCGGGGATTTTATTTCTTTACCTTCCTATAAGTTCTCCTACACAGCCACAAACTCTTGCTGTGGTAAAGCACAGCTACAAAAAACATGGCCATTTTGTGGTATCTTCCAGAAAAAATAGCTGACTTTCCTCACTCTGAAAAAACCTACAAAAATTGTCAGAAAACATGGGAGAGGCCCTGGAGAAGGAGGAGAACAGGAGCAGAAGGTTCTATGAAGGACCTACACAATTTTGTGACTTAGGGATAACAAGAATTCAATAGATGTCTCATTTAAAGAAGCTCTATAATTAAGAGTTGATTGAGTGAGTAGTATAGCAAATGCTTTATGAGTGTGTGTCTGTGTGTGTCAGAGATTAAATAATGAGCTTTCATTTTGTATAGTAAAATTTGAAAGTAGGTTAAAAGAAACAAGGGAGCCTTTGATTTTTGAAAGGATTTTAGGTTCTATTCAACTGTGTCCTTCTGTTCACAGCAGGCTCTTTGATCTATGGAGGCTGATTCTCCTTTCACTAATTCCTCCATAGTGCCATAGGCTCTGGCACCATTACAAAGGAGGAGTGTTAAAGGTGGAGCAGTGCAACTCAGGACAAAAGAGGAATTTGCAATTTGTTAAATTTGTCTCCCTTTTCTCTTTTTGGTTTATCTGGAGCAGTTGCAAAGTCTCTTTGAATGGCTACGGATACAAACCTATGGATAAGATATCTGAACAACAGAAGTTTGTCAGCATCCTCTTCACCACCAGATTTTTGCTGGGAGAAGCGATAGAAACTTTTCCCCCGTTTTTGTGCCTCTGCATCTTCTTTTGCTCTGCCTCCAACAGAGAGGGCCTCTGAGACTGTCTAGCTGCAGCGTGCTGGTGTCCAGAAGGCCTTTGGCTATGGCTGCTCCACGGCCATTCTGCATTTTGCCCCTCCCACCCACCAACACCTCCCCTTTTCCCCTATATGCCCTCCTGCCCCATAAGATCAGCAGCAGAGGCCCTCCTCCGGGAACCCTCTTTGAAAGAGGTCAGGAGACACAGTACTTGGAGGAGGGCTTTCTCTGGGGCGGTGCCCTGACTATGGAATGCGCTCCCTAGAGAGGTCCGCCTGGCGCCGTCATGATATGCTTTTTGGCGCCAGGTCAAGACCTTTTTATTTAACCAATATTTTAAAGTTAGTTCATTTTAATGCTATATTTAGTTAATTCATTTTAACTATGTTACTTTATACTGTTGTGGTATAGCCAATTTATTTATTTGTTTAGGATTGGTAGGTTTTAACGTTTGTAAACCACCCAGAGAGCCCTCTGGGCTACTAGGGTGGTATATAAATGCAAATAATAAAATAATAAATAAATAGATTCCTCCCTTTCCATGGAGCTCAGACCTCAAGAGAGTCCACTGCCATGGAACTTTCTGTAGCCGCTGGAAAGGGTGTGGGAAATCCCCATTTGGATTTTCCCCTCCAAGGCTGTAGGTCTGTCTACAGTTTAGGAGGATGGACATCCCCAGCATCCTATGATTCCTCAAGGGGGCATAGATTTATTTATTCATTTAATGCTCTAGGTGGGACATACTTTTATAATGACAGTATATGGCTTAGGTGAAGGAATGAGTGATAAGGGTAAAAGGGACAAGGAATTTTACAAAGGGAGGACATTGTGGAGAGGAGGACTTGTACAGACCAATTTAAAAATAAGAATTAAAAATCATGACCCCACTTGCATAGTTTTAAAGACATGAAAAATAATTAACCCTCTTTCCTGTTCACACAAATGTAACCCCGCCCCCATATGCAAAAAAGAAAAAACCCCACAAATGTTTCTGGAATTGGAAAAAATATCTGCTACACTTGGCTGTCACTTACTGGAATGGAACCACTGCAAAATCCCATTGTGCTTAAATAGATGGGAATTCCTATCGCTGCACATTTAAAAGAACAGAACACAAGTTTTATTGGAGTTTTAGAATTGCAGAAGATTGTCTCTTTTGAAATATATATATTTTGTTGCAGTGTCGACAAATTAACGGAAGTTGCCCGCAACCATATTGAAACTTCTACCAGAATCCAGTATGAACTTGTTCTAGAAGGAATAGATTTTTACATTAATGGTGATATCAAAGTATTTCCAGATCCTCTTCTTCCACCTCGTCCTCCATCCGTAGAGATGGCTACAGATAGTACACTAACTATTTCACAGCTTAGCACTCTTCATAAACAGTTTCTACAGGTGGCACCTAAAGGTAGGACAATACTTTCTCTATACCTTTGTAAAATTAAATTTGTTATCCGATCAAGATTCAAATGTACAAAAGTAAAATGCTTTACCTTCATGCGAGGAATATTGGTGCTACACTAATATATAACAATATTCAAATGTGTACCTGCAGTGACTATAGTGTCAAACTGCCTGCTCAGAAGCCTCGGAACTTGGAGGCTCCCAAGATTCATATGTCCTGCTGGGCTAAAACAGCCAGGGAGGGAGGAGAAATAAAGGTGATTTTTACCTCCCATCTTTTGTATTTGCAGATTTTCACTAAGCAGCTTTGTAACCCTCCTAGCAAGGGTGCTTTGCAGGGGGAGAGAATGAGGATGAAGGAGACTGAGGTTTCCAGTCTTCTCCCCTCCCTCCCCAGCAGAATTCCCTCTTTTGTCCTTCTTTGAGGTCATGGTCCTGGCTTTGGAGGGTAGCCAACATGTTTCTTCATGCCTCCTGAGAGTAGACAGGAAGGTTGTCCTCTGACTGCCCTTTGTGAGGGTATGGTACTGACTTGCATCTCAGGAGCTATTTTTTCCATTCAGTGCTATGTTCTCATTGGATTGGTATCTTAATGTGAAACATTTAGGACTGCTTCACATATTAACAGTGCAATAATCTGTTTAGTCAGATGTAAACACTATTGTGCTCAGTGGTGTTTGCTCCCGGGAAAGGCTGTTTAGGATTCCAGCCTGGTGCCAATCAGGCCCTGTCTGGAACAGTCTACATCTTAAATTAAAGATGTAATGCGCCACTCTCTAGGGTTTTTAAAATTTTCTCTAAATTAAGTATATGTAACCACCCTCTGCTTTTAGACTACCATGCACAGGGAGTGAGGCTTCATCCATAAATATTTCTTCTTTCTTTAATTGTCATACAGCAAGGAGGATTTTGGGAAGGGAGTAGTTGGGAAAGGAAGATCAAATATTACTTCCCTCTGGGCAGTTTTCCTGATCCAGACTGAGACCACATATATTTACCAGGCTAAGTGAAAAAACAAACCAAGATAGAGCTACATGCTATATATTTAATGTAAGGTCCAGTTCAACAACCGGCCAGTCACCGTTCTCATAACATGGAGGTGTGAACATAATCTGAACTAGGTCATCCCTAGAAGATCTTATTAACTAGACAGGTTCAAATATGAGTGAGCAGTCCTAGGAACTGAAGGTAAAATTGTAGTAGGCATACTCATTCCATTTTCAACTCTGGTTAAACATCAGTGATGTTTTGGTGTTTCTCAAAAAATCCACAAAGCTTCTTTGATGATGGGGCAAAAGAAATGTCTGTCTGATGTAGGGATTGGGCTCACTTCTCCCAAAATACAGCATTTTAAGGTGGATACTTTGTACTCTGTTTCAGAATGAGAAGAAGTGAGATCAGAATACTTAGCTGAATTTCCAAGGTCAAAGTGTTGCAAGATAAGCATAGTAACTGATGAAAGCCAGACTTCTGGTTTGTGGGGAGACACTATGGAACAGGGGAAGTCGGAGTTAGAAGGATGAAACTTGATCAGTCCTGTTGTCTGATGCTAGGTGACCAGTTAAGTAATATCTGATGTGCCTGTGGTGTGGTCAACAAGCAGCATGGACCTCACTGAGGGTGGAACCAACCCCATTTGGTGGGGAAAAGAGGAGGGAAATTCCATTTTGAATCAAGTTCTGGCATGGGCAGAAGAAAATATACAATTGATGACTTCATTAACTTGATAGACCTCTCTTTCTAGCAATCTTTATATTACTCACTTGGTATCACAAAGCCAGTCTTGGCTAGCTCACTTTAACACAGTAAAAGACTGTCATTAGAAGCCTTTTATCTTGATCTGCTAGGAAGGGAAAAGGAGAGAGATTGGGTTGGGAGACAGAGAGATGAAGGAACCACCTCATGACACACAGCATAGGAATAGAAGCCTCTCTCAAACCAATTTTAACATTTACAGATGTCCATTTCTAAATTAAATCTATAGACCACAGAATGTTGTGAGTGAAAGTGATAAATGTGTACCCTACAGATATATTTGTCAGGAAGACTTGGGATGGGCTGTGACTTCCTGTTGATTTTATGTTCAATAGTAAACACAGATTTGCTACTGTGTAATGTGTGAAATAGCCCTTACAGGTTCAGAAATCTATATGCCTGTTTTCAAACCTATGACCTGGTTTGTACACAATTTACAACTCAGGTTATTTTTAGACCCTAGGTTGTCCTGAATGAGCTAGCAAGCTGGTCCATGCTTCTTGATTGCTCCGTTTTGACTTTACCTTCAGCAGAGGTAGCTAAATTGCCAAGTGACAACTTCCTGTCCCTGGATGAATTAATGTTATATGTTCAAACCTAGATTGCTGGCCTGGGTTGCAAGTCTGGCTTTTCAGGGGAGAGACAAGCCAGAGTGTTGAGTTAGAGTGTCATGCTAAACACCCTAAGCATAGAGTATCTCTGGGTTGTTTAACTGTTCCAGCTGGTTGGGAGAACCTAGCAGAGGTAACTGAGCAGAAGGGAGTAACTGGTTTGTGTACAACAAGCCAGGATAAAACCAAACAAAACCAAACCTGGCTATCATTGCATAGGAACAAGCCCTGTGTCTTCAAAGGCTGTTTACAACATTTTATCTTACTATGAATGCATAGTATGCTATTCAGAACTATTTATATTTGTATTTTCCTTTAAAATCAATATTCTGCTTAATCCTGGCTTCTGAAAAGGTTGCAACATAAATTATAAGTTAAAATTCAGTTGCTGTTTTAAATGAAAATGGCAGCCATTTTTCTATATGTGAGAGGCACTGACTGAAATACGCAGAAGGGCAAAGTTTTTCAAGGAAGTAACATGACCAAAGACTTACTTTTTATTGATGCACCACTGCGAGGCTAAACCTGAGGCTGGCGTGAACCCATTCAAACTATTGGTGGAATCTCATATGACTGAATCCTCTTTCATGCAAAAAGGTTGTTACCACAAGAAAAAAAAACCTATGTCAAGGAGCTGGGTTCCAGCTTCCTAGACATGCTAGTTTTCCTTGTGCAATGAGGGATTTTATTATATAAAAGAATATTCAACCCCTTGAATTCCCATCTGCTGTCTGAAATGGTTCAACCTATAGGAGTACTACTTCTGTGAAAATAAGGTTTTATTCCAACACTGTATATCAGGGGTGGTTAAGCCATGACCTTATTTATTTATTTATTTAGAAAATTTCTATGCTGCCCCATTTGCCGAAGCCTCCTTAGAGATGCATGCTGCCCTCAGCCTAATTTCAACTGCCTTCTACAAGTGATCTATTTCTGCACTTGTCAAGAGCAATCTATCTTCCACAGATTGTTGGGCAGGGACTGAAGGAGGAAAATGCAAAGAAACTACTGGCAGAAAGAGAGAAGAGGCCCACATTGGTCTCCAGTCCTGCTCTCTGCCAGCAGGCAGCCCCAAAAGATTACCCCAGGAGAATGCATTTCTCAACTGAAAAAGGTCCCCCAACCCTGCTATATATTGCAAATTCCATGTCCTCAAACACATGATTTCTCTCCTTATATTCTGAAGTGGTACAGTCTCTAAAGACTGTGTGATACCCTTTCTCTAAACATGTTGAAATATTTGGAGACTGACATGACAGTAACACACTGAAGCAAGCTGTCAAGTGGCAGATAGTCAAAGAAGACTACTTTATTTTCCATTTGCTTCCTTAATCCCATTTGAAATAGGAATAAGAGATCAGCTGACATTTTCTCATTTAAAATCACCATTTTCCTTTGCTTGATCCTCTGCAACAGTGTTCTCTTAAATGTGATCAGTAAAACAGATCTGTAGGCTTTTGCTGAAAAGTATATGGGTAGTCAGCAAAAAAGGAAACCATAGAAGGAAACTTGTGTGCTATATACCAAATACTATTTTGACTCAACAAGAGTCAACTAATATCAGAGTATTTAAGCCACAAGAAGAAGATTAGATCATTAAGAGAAGCTTAGCTAGCAACATGGAAAGTACCCAGCTTTGCTTTAAAAGGCCAATATCCTTATTACACAATTCTTTCTGCAGAAAGAAAACTTCATTAAAGAGGAACATGGGTTGTTTTAATGAATTCCTCCCCTTAATACTCTTGTTTTTGTTCTTTCTACCACTGCATTGACTTTAACACCTCTAATACTTTGATAATGAAAAGAATTTTATTTGGAATTGGATTAACTTGTTTGCTGCAGAACTGTTGAATTCCCTCCACTCCACAGACACTTGATCTGCGTTCAGATCAGCAAGTACAGCAAGTACTAGGAGAAAGTTTTTTTTCCCTGCAAGTTTGAAATTGGCTTGCGGTTGCTGGCCCCTTCACATGTGGTTCCCGAAACCAGGACCAGCATGTTCAGACACGTCCTGGGGGACCACACCCTAGTAGGTCATGATCCTCCACTTTATGCACCCTGCTCATTCACCTGCTTCTTGCTCTGGCTCAGATAATAGTGCTGGTGCTAAGGAGAAGAGTAGATGCAACTAGTGTCTTGTTTACTGGCTCTCCTCCTATCGGGCAAGCAAAGTAGAAGCAGTAATAAGACAGAGGTTGAAGAGGAGTAGCAACTGGCAAGGATGGCAGTGAGAAGATTTATTGAGTGAAGGGGTCATTAAGGATGTATTGCCCATGGGCCCTCAGAAACCTGGAACCAGACTTGCCCCATCCCCTTTACCTGGTGTAGTGCTAGTGGTAGAAAGACAGCTATTTCCTTCCATTCTGCTCCTCTTCCACTGGAACAAGGAGGTCCGAATTTTCCCACATCTAATCCCTCCCTTTCTCTACTTCCTCCTCTTCCTACTTGGCAACTGGAGTGTTGGGGGACAGTATTCTCCTAGAAACAACTGCTATCTAGCATCCTGAGAAGATTACATTTCCTAGTGTTGAAAGATCCAGGAAAGGAGGAGGTGGAACCAGAGCTAAATTCACACTGGACATCACTAAAGAGCTGCCATGGCTCCAGCATCCTGGCAGGACCCACCCACCATGGCCATTTTGGCTCTTCCCAGATTCCTGTTCCCGCCATGCCCTCTGAACAGCACTAAGTGGCTGGATCTAATGAGAAGTTTAACTTTCCCCAATGCTCCAACATAATATCCCACTGGGACATTGTAGGAAAGCAGGAGGCAGCTTCCAGCCCCAGTTCATTCCTGCCCACTGCCATGGGCAACTAAACCCAGGAGGACCCATTGACCAAAGAGGGAACCCATTAGAAAATTCTTTGTCATCAAGGTCCTCAGATTTGGAGCTAAGCCTATTAAAGTAAAGCAATAGTTGCTGTTGCTATGAGACCAACAGTCATATGATTGGGAGGGAAGCAACTCCTCCTCAGTTCAGACTAAATCCTGAGCCAGAGAAGAATTAGGGTTACAGTGCTCACCTCATTTTTATTGTGAGCAATATGGGTTGCTGAGTGGTAAAGCTTGCTGCCTCTCTGTGACGGTTCCTTTCGAGTACTGTTGGCATGCAAATGCATATTGTTGTGATTTTTCTACTAGGAATCTTTTATTTTCAATTGTTTTATTTTATTTCAATTGTTTTGAGAACCAAGACATACCTACTTTGTGTAGAAAACCAAAAGCCGCACTGAACATTTGGAAAATGTCTTTTTCAAGAAGAAGAAATTTCTCTGAAATTTCAAGTGGAGGAGAACTCCCACTTACCTGACTTAACCCTATTTTAGTGCTGAGGTTTACTGGATATTTCTTGCTTTTCTGACTGCCCCCACCCCCAGCTGAATTCTCCACAGCTGTTACTTGAATGTCTTGGAAGCAGCATAATATCAGGGAGAGACTTGCAACCCTGTGAGCATTATGCACCATTTAAAATAAAACCTTCTTAGAATCATAGAACAGTAGAGTTGAAAGGGGCCATGAAGACCATTGAGTCCAACCCCTGATATTGCAGGACACCATGTTACACCATCCCACTCAGATTCTTCTTGAATGTCTCTAGTATGGCAGAGCCCACCACCTCTCTAGGCAGCTGGTTCCACTGTCGTATTGCTCTGCCAGTGAGGAAGTTTTTCCTGATGTCCAGTCTGAATCTGGGTCATCACAACTTGAATTGATTATTCCGTGTCCTACTCTCTGGCATCAGCAGGAAGAAATCTTGACCTTCCTCTTTGTGACAGCCATTCAGGTACTTATAGAGGTATATCATGTCCCCCTTCAGTCTTCTCAAGGATGAACATGCCCAGTTCTCTCAGTCTCTCTTAAAAAGTCAGAAATTATATTTCAAAATAAGAAATCACATTAACAAGAAAATTGATTTGTCATGAAAAAGCATGTTAATGCCAAATTGTATTTAAAATATTTATAGCCATAGCAGCACTGAAGCAATTTAAAAGCAAGAATGTAACTCCAGGCATCCAGAGGCAATCGAAGAAGAATCGCCAGTTTCCAAAAATATGGCTGTCAAAGTACCCATGGCTCAAACATGATAGTGACAGAGGCATAATGTACTGTTCTTTGTGTCAGAAACACAATGTGGATTTAGGAGAGAAGACACATAATTTTTGTTCTGGGACTGATGATTTCATCCTTGAGTTAGTCAGCAACCACCACAACAGCGAAGCTCATGCATGGGCAACCTGTATGGAAGCAGCCAGTAGTTCTATTCCAGATACAGCTACCACAGAGCAGATGTTAAAGAGCATGAGCAAAACCGTCTTAGGAAGGATGGAAAACCTCTTCAGAACGTGCCATGCCATTGCCAAAACTGGACGACCCTTCAGAGACCTGGACTGGATGTGCAAACTGGATGATATGAAGGGAGTGGATATTGGTTCTGTATTTAGAAATGACAAGGCAGCAAGAATTTTTATTCATTTTATTGCTGAAGTGGAACGAAGGGCCTTGAAAGAGAAATTAGAACAATGCAAGTTTTTCTCACTCATTAGTGATGGTGTGACAGACAATGTAATCACAGAAGCTGCTCTTGTATATGTCCACTATGCATATCAAGGAAAAGTCTGCTGCCAGATGGTTGGAGTTCAGCCAGTAGAGAAATTTGATGCTTTTGCTGTGAAAAATGCTATTCTGAAAACATTGCAAGCCAATCTGCAACTCAATTTGCCCAGCCATGACTGGGCAAGTAAACTTGTTGGGTTTGGAAGTGATGGTGGAGGCATTATGGTAGGGCAAAACAATGGGGTGGCTAAATTGTTGACGGAAATCCAGCCACGTGTTCAAGGTGTGCACTGCCTTGTGCATCGGCTTGAAATTGCTTACAAGGCTGCACTGAAGAGTACTCAGCCATACACTATTCTAACAGATCTTTTGAAGAACATATACTATTTTTATCATAATTCTCTGCTAAATAAGAGCAACCTCAAGCTAGTTTATGATTCTCTGAAACTGAAACCAGCAATCCCTTCTCGAATTGGTGGCTCTCGATGGCTTCTTCGCCTGCAGACTGCTCTTCAAATCCTTCTTAAAGGTTACCCAGCAATTGTCCTCCATATGAGTAAGGTAAATACTCTTTAAAACATACATGGGTAGAAGAAATAATAAATGAAGAAATGGGGGAGGGTTTTGCCAGTGTGTTATTGAATTGCTTTTCTTGATGAGTTCCAGATAGAAGAAGAGCCATGTTCTTCAAATCACCAGAAAGCCAAAGATTTCTTAAAGCTCCTTCTGAAAATAGACATCATCAAGTTTTCTCATTTCTTACTGGATGTTGTTAATGTCCTCAACATTCTGTCTCGTGTGGCCCAGGATCAGAACTCTTCCATTGCAGATGTGTTTGCAACATTTCAGTCAATGCGGGAAACACTTCGAATGTATCAAGCCAGGTTGTATATTCTGCTCAAATACGGCATATTACTGGCTATATCTGAATTGAACATACAACCTCCATTTCTTCAATGTTCTGTTTTTCAGAACAGGGCCTAGAGAGCATCTGGTGGAAACTATCACACACTTTCATGGTTACCAGCTTGTAGGACATGACAATATATCAGCAGTGCGCATAGAATTATTAAATAATCTTTTGGACCAGCTGTGTGGTTGCTTTTGCGATGCTAGTGAAGATATTCTGCGAGCAAGCACTATTGGAAGTTTTAAGCTGTGGCCAGACAAAATCAAACAAGGTACAGAAAACCCTATGTGTTGGCAATGTGATAGCATCTCAATGAATAATTTCTTCCTGAAACATGTCAGATGAATATTTTAAAATTAACATTAACATTTCTACAGAATTTGGTGAAATGGAAGTGTCTGTCTTGACAAAGTATTATGAGCCAGTCCTGGAAAGTGCCAAAGTGAAAATTGATGAGATCGAGACAGAATGGAACATGTTGAAAGCAGAACTATATACTAGGTAATAAGCCAGCTGATGTAAATGTGGACTAGTTGAAATTAAATTAATTTTGCTGATAATATTAGTGAGGAAAACAAATGTAATAACCCTTATCCTTTCTAGATACCAAAGCATTCGGAGCTTAACCTGGGATTCAGTCAACACCAATTATTCTCACAAATACCCAAACATCTTGACACTAGTAGATCTTGTCCTGGCACTGCCTGCAAGTTCCAGTGAAGCCGCACGAGGGTTCGGCCAAATGAAGCTTACAATGATGCAGCCACATTCAAAACAAATGTTTGAAAGCATGACTGATCTCATGATCATCCGGATGAATTCTCCAGATATCAAAAGGTTTGATCCTCAAAAGGCCATTCAGTTGTGGAACCTATCTTGCCAAAGGAATAGAACTACACAGGCTGATGAACAGATGGCTAATTGTGAAAGTTCTGAGTGTTCATCCGACTCTGAATGGGAAAGGGAAAGTTCATTTGGCAGTGATTAGCTATGTATCAATTGCTCCATTGTGTCTCCACAAAAAAGCTAGAAGGGTGTATCAATGTATATTTGCTTAATAATTATTATGTATACCACACACTAGCCAAATATATTGTGAGCAGCTTATGCAATTTATCTGCTAGGAAAATGGAAGGCACCTTAGGGCCTTGAGGCTATCCTTTCACTTACAAAATAAGGAAGGTAAGAATTAAGCCAAGCAGAACCCCAAAATGACACGAAACTAAAATGTGGTCTAAAAAACTTGGGGGGAAAATGATGTCTAAATACCAGCTCATGTTGTTATGGCTGGAGTGGGTGATTGCAGAACAACAGAGACTAGAATGAGAGACAGATGGTCATCAAACGGTATCACATGGCAGTGCCTCTCACACTATGGGCCATTGCAGTATTTCCCTGACCACCTTCTTTCCACTCGTCCTCCCAGACAGTACGGTGTGTGGCTACTAGCCATCTGGCTTTTCTACTTCACTTGCACCAGAAAAGAGTGGGGAATGGAAGGAAGGTGAAATGAGTGGCAATACAAAGGAGGCAGAGGGGAGGAAACCAAGCACAGTTAATTATCACCAAACTTGGACAATAGAGGGCTCACTAGCCACAACCACCTCTTCCTTCTCCTGTCCCAGTTGGAAAAGGGGCACCCACCAGCGGCAGCCCCAGTCCAGAGCATGGAGTAAGCCAGGCGGTGATCACTTGCTGTCTCCATTTTGCTGTCATTCTCCCTGCTGTCACTTCTGTCCACCACTCCTGGAATAACACTTCTACATGACTTGATGCCACCAAGACTTTGTACTTCGGGGGAGTGTTGCTAATGGGAGCACCTGCGAATCAAAGTGTCCGCTATCACTGCTGGACAGAATTGGGGAATATGTTGCTCCAGGAAACAGTGTTAGCAAGTCCTGTGGGAGTAGCATCCCACTAGCCATGATCATGGACACAGGTGACATAGGAAGGGAAGATGAAAAGATGGTGAAGACTCCTGCCTGATTCTGTGCCAGCCACAACTCCTCCATCAGTGATGATTCTCCCTATTCTTCGGGCTGCAAGATGAAACCAGTCAGTCTTAGAGGAGATCAACCCTGACTGCTCTTTAGAAGGCCAGATCCTGAGGATGAAACTCAAATACTTTGGCCACCTAATGAGAAGGAAGGACTCACTGGAGAAGAGCCTAATGCTGGGAACAATTGATGGGAAAAGAAGAAGGGGAAGACAGAGGATGAGGTGCCTAGATGGAGTCACTGAAGCAGTTGGTGTGAGCTTAAGTGGACTCCGGGGGATGATGGAGGACAGGAAGGCCTGGAGGAATGTTGTCCATGGGGTCACGATGGATCAGACACAACTTCGCAACTAACAACAACAACAAATCTAGAGATCTACCTGGTGCTAACAAGGCACTGTATTAAGCAAAGCTTGCTTGGTTTATCTCTCTCTTCTAGTTGCTTAGGTAGTTGTCTGCAGTCTGCATAATAAAGATAATTGACTGGCAATAGTCTTGATTATTCTTCGGACAAGTTTCCTTATGGACAAACCTAGCCAGCCTGCATTATACTTTGGGTTCATGATGAAAGTAGTCCAGTCACACTGTGTCTTGGATCCAGTGTGGACCCCACTGAGCCTATCTGCAGGCAAGAGAGGAAAGAGGAGGAAAAACCTGGATGACAATTGGGCCATCTCTTTCTTTTTTGCTTTTGGTTGGTTGAAATGTTAGTCTTAGTGCTAAGTGATCAGCAGCTCAATGGCCTGGATTTTGCTTCTCAAAATGAACACACAGCAATGTACAGTGGTACCTTGGCTCATGAACTTAATCCATTCCAGGACTCTGGTCGTGACCCAAATTGGTCATGAGCCAAGTCAGATTTCCCTATAAGGTTCAGTGTAAATAAGGTTAATCCATTCTGTAACTTTTTTTAATCAGAAAAATTTGAAGCAAAGTGACAACAACAAAGATCGCAGCCATCTCCCTCCCCCCACCCTGAGCACGAGCGCGGCCATCTCTCACACCTCCCCCAGCATGACCGCGATTGCGCCCGTCATCCCTGCATGAGCGTGATCACGATTGCGGCCATAGATGGGCGCAATCGCAGGTGCGCTTGGGAGTGGGGAGATGGGCATGACCGTGCTGGTGGGGACATGGCCGAGATTGCACCCTTCTTTCCTGCATGAGTGCAACCGTGATCATGGCCATCTCCCCACTCGGGGGTGTGGGGAGATGGCCGCGATCGCGATCACCACCCAATGCAGAGCTTGCAACCTGAGTCAAAATTTTTATGAAATTTTTGCTCGTGACCTGATTTGGGTCGTGAGCTGAGGTACTGCTGTGTTTATTTATTCTTTATTTAAAGCATTTCTATTCCATTCCCATTTAGTCAATGAACCTCAGAATGGTTTACAATATATTAAAAATTTAAAATCATAACAAATGCTACCTTACACATTTAAACAATCACAAAATGAAACCAATAAATATCACTTTAATTAGAAGAAAATGTAAAAGCAAAATATGGTATAAATAATTATAAAATTAATAGTATCAAGCACACCTCTCTGGAGAGCTGGTTCCATGACCAGGGTGCCAAGGCTGAAAAGGCCCTTCTCTTTATGTCCTTCACAGCAGGATCCTGGGAAAGGACCTCTGTTGGTAACCTGAAGGTATGGGCAGATATATATGGGAGGGGACATTCCATTAGAGATCCAGATCCTAAACCGTTTAGAGCCTATCGTAAGTACCTTAAAGTGGGCCCGGAATTCAATTGGAAGCCAGTGAAGGTGACATAGCATTGCAGTAACATGCTTATCCCTTGGTTTTCTCATTAAGAGGCGAGCTGCTGTATTCTGCACCAATAGCAATTTCTGAACCGGTTTCAAGGTCAGGCCCACATAGAGTGCATTGCAATAGTCTAAGTGAGAGGTTATCAGGGCATGGATCACTGCTGCCAGGTTTTGCTTGTCCAGATAGGCAAGGAGTTGGAAAATCAGCTGAAGCTGAACCTGACTGCAGAGCTCACCTAATGTTCTAAGGTCAGCTGTGGGTCAAGAAGCACCCCCAAACTTCAAACCCTGTCCTTCAGGGGGAATACAACCCCATCCATAACAGAAGAGATGTCGTCCAAATGAACAAGGGACCCACCTACCAACAGGACCTCTGTCTTGTCAGGATTAAGTCTCAGTTTATGAGACCTCATCCAATCGATCACCTTGCTCAGACACTGGTTCAACACCAAGACAGTCACACCTGAATCAGATGAAAAAGAGAATTTATTTTATTTTATTTTATTTTATTTAAAACTTAACTTTTGTACAGTATACACTGGTTCCCCAGTACTATGTTTATGAAAAATCCTTTTTTTAAAAGCTGTCGTATGCCTAGGTAGAGTGGCCACTGATCTCATGAAGGGGAAGTAAATTAGCATTAGTGTTTATTTTTATTTATTTATTTATTTAGAATATTTATTTATTTAGAATATTTTTATCCCATCCTATACAAACCAATTGTCTCAGGATGGCTTACGATATAATATAAATAAACATTAAATATAAACAACCAATGACTATAATAATAAGATAAAATGCAACTGAGGATATTAATATAACCAGATTAAAATTATTTAAGCTTTAAAATGTTGGGTAAATAAAAAGGGTTTTACCTGGCACTGAAAAGCATATAAAGTCCACACCAGGTGAACCTCTCTGCAGAGCGCATTCCATAGTCAGGGCGTGGAACAGTGTTAAACTGTTCATTGTATTTTTATAGCTATGGAAGTGAAGAAGCAAACTGAATTCCCCCAGCTGGGGATTGTACCAGCAATTTACAGTGGATCTGCTCCCATAATGCCTCAGTAATTTTTAGCCCTCTCAAGTGGAACTTGGGGTAGAAAGTTTGAGAACTCTTGCTGTAAAGTATATGGACAACTATTTCCATGCTTCAGTAAAAATAGTCCACATCTATTAAATATGACACAAACAAATACATGATTACTTGATTTCATTTTTGATACCAGCAAAACTTAGGAAAGCATACCTTACACTTCATAGCAAGTGTAAGAGAAGTAGAAGAATATGCTAAACGTATATGGTGCATGCTTGTTTAAGATAGAACATTCTCAAGGAAAATAGGTGAAGCTTACCATTAAACTGATTCTATAGGATTATATGAATATATGTTGTTCATAAAAGGATATAATAAACCTTGTTGTAACAACTAGAATGAAAATGCCCAACAGAAAAACTGGATGCAGACAGGGTACGGGGGAGGATGGAATACTATATTGTACAGATGAAGAGAGAGAAGAAAAATAAAAATTCTAAGAAAAGTTGAATGTATTTGTGTGTTTGAAAAGTTTCTTATTGAAGACTAAGATGGTCAGATAATTTAGTGGAATGGTGGAGAAGTTGTAACCCTCCAAATGTCTGATCACAGCCCCCAACTTTGACCACTGGCTATGCTAGCTGGGGCTTATGGGCATTAGAATCCAAAACATCTGCAGCCCTACAGGTTCTGTGTCCCTGCTGTAGAGGTATTATTCTTTAACATGTCATTGTCAAATACTATGATATGTGTGGACTATATTTTTTTATAAAATCCTGAAGTATATATTTTGGGTATATATTTCGTATAGGTATATAAACTATTTTTAAGTTAAAACTTTTGCTTGACTTGGTGGAGTGGAGACAAATATCATGTGTTCCCCCAGCCCATTCCACCTCAGGTTATTAAACTAATACCAGTGTGAACTTAGGGCAGAATTTGGTGCCTTGGAGACTTACATCCACTGAATGTGCAGCATGTGGCATGGTTATTTCTGGTTACCCAAACTTCATCTAGATGGCCAGTTTTAGCCATCTCTGTTAAATGTGAAATGGGAGGGAAGAAGGCTGGGCTACTGTTTGGATATGGCATATGCTGCTGGCACCAACCCCCTCACTGTCTCACTCTCGGCACGCCTGGTTTCTTCTTCTCCAAGGTTGATTTCCAACCTCAGAGAGGCAGCT